TCTCCTCTCCTTCAAGGTAAAAGCTCTAAAACAAATTTTAGGTACCCTTATGACATCTCTGCTTCCTGACCATCTGCTACTTCCTACTCATTGCATTTGACTCTCCACACCCCTGCATGTGGCTGAATTTCAATAGACACTTTCAGAAGTGTTATTTATTTGATTTCTCTGTAGGAGTCCACACGAAGCACTCCCTTCTTTTCAAAACATTCTCTTGACCTCCATGTCACCTTGGCTACTTCTTAGTCTTCTTTTCAATGGCAATTCCTCTACCCAGATATTAAATGCTCCTAGTTTTCCTTAAAACTTGGTCCTAGGCTGTCTGCTCCTCTTCCTCAGAGATTGTATTCAATCTCCAAGTTTTAGCATGTTTTGCTCTTGTCTCCCATAATTTTGTTTCTTGTCTATCAGCAATCTGAGACTACAACATAAACATCATTACTAGCTCAGTTGCCTATTTCACCTGTTTTGTTGTTTGGTTTTTTGAGATGGATTCTCCCTCTGTCTTCTAGGCTGGAGTGCAGTGGCGTGATCTTGGTTCACTGCAACCTACGCTTCCCGGGTTCAAGTGATTCTCCTGCCTCAGCCTCCCAAGTAGCTGGGATTATAGGTGCATGCTGCAACACCAGCTAATTTTCGTTATTTTTAGTAGAGATGGGGTTTCACCATGTTGGCCAGGCTGGTCTCCAACTCTTGACCTCAAGTGATCTACCCACTTTGGCCTCCCAAAATGCTGAACTCCATTATCCAGCCTGTTCTCAAAAAGAGAGCGCATGCCTGTAATCTCAGCCCTTTGGGAGGCTGAGATGGGTGGATCACTTGAGGTCAGGAGTTCAAATCCAGTCTGGCCAACATGGTGAAAGCCCATCTCTACTAAAAATATGAAAATTAGCTGGGCATAGTGCACATACTTATAATCCCAGCTACATGGGAGGCTGAGTTGGGAGCATCACTTGAGCCAGGAGGGTGGAGGATGCAATGAACTGAGATCACACCACTGCACTCCACCCTGGGTGACAAAAAAGCCATCACAGATCCTATTCATGTTCTAGAAGCTCTGTGTTAAATCCTGGGCCCAATCTTTCTGCAGTATAGATACTGCTATCTTATTTTTATTTTCCAAAACTTCATAGCATCTTTTTGTTGTTGAGTAGATGCAGTCTATTGAAAAACTTAGGATCTCTAGAAAACTTAGAAGTTTGCTTTTTCTTGTTTTCTATGGTGCCTCATTTCTTTGGGAGTTGTTTGGCTTTTAGTCTCTGTCTTCTTTGTTGGAGGCTGTTCTCAAATGTCTGGTAATCCTGTACTGTCCTCTTCACATTTGAGAGTCAGACACAAGATGTTAGGAAGTTCTGTGTATCTGAAGGAGGGGATGACTTTTTGACAGGCTAGCTTTACTAGGGGGTGATTAGGCAAGCAAAATGGCCCCTTCTTTGTAGGGCCTTTTCTTGGGGGCAGTTCCATTCTCCTAAGAAGAATCCTCTAGTCTTCTTCCTTAAGCATTTAAGCCCCAGTGCAGTGTTCTGGGAACAAAGTGAGTGGGAAAGCCTATTGCTTTTGTGTGCTTCCAGGGTACCCTGACCTACCCATAGACCCCACCGCCCATCTAATTACTTGATAACATATGTCTTCACACTATTTCATAAGCCCAATGAGACAGGGACCACATCTGTCATTTGCACATACCTCCAGCACCCAGCATAATCTGCAGCACAAAGTAGCACTAAGAAACGTTGCTGAATGAATATAATGGTGAGAGCTCTGGTGCTGGTTCAGGTGAACTACAGGACAATACAAACAAGAGTTGTGTTTGGGATACAGGAACCCCCAAGAATCAGAACTCTTCTACCCAGAGCATTTGAGATTTTTCTTGGAATTCCAATCAAGGCATTTGCACTCTCCACAGCTCACATACAGCCTATGGCTCTATAAATGTCATGGATTCCGTTTCTCAGGTCTAGTCTGCTCCTCATAAGCACTGCAGATTAAATGAACAAAAGGCATGCCCTTAGGTTATGACAAATGTTTTTTGTTCTTGGTTCCTGCACTTGCACACATTCTAATAATTATCTAAGAAACTCTCTTCAATTGATGATGTTAAGATTATGCCTTAGTAGATAACCAGTATAAACTGCTCACTCTCTGATGGTGGAATGGGCTTTAAATTCTTCTTAAATTCCTTTTAGGTGGTGAAAATATGTTCTTCTAGCTGAGAAGGAGAAACAAATTTGATCTTTGGGGAAGGAGCCTTAAATAGACACAACTGGCAACCAGCATTTTGACTTGAGTGCATATCATGCTGGGAAGCATATGGAGAAGGGGCAAAGGCAGAAAGGAAACAAACATAGATATAAGAGAGCAGGCAGAAAGCCACCCCTTCAAGAAATAGAGGAGTAGGAAGGGAGGGGAACACAAGGACCTATGTACTAGTTGGGCTGGGCACAGGCTAACCTGCAATAACAGAGACCCAACTATACCGTGGCTTACAGAAGGTAGAACTTGATTCTCTCTTATGTAACAGTCCAGAAATTAGCAGTCCAGGAAGGTGGGGTGACTTTGCTCTGTGCAGCCTTTTAGACCCAGACATCAACTTTTTTTTTTTTACTCCTCTGAATAAAGGATTATTTTTGACTTCATGGCCATAGCTAGGTCACTGCCCTGTGAGCATTTCAACCTAGCAGAAGGGGGGAAATTGGAAAAGTGATGTGGAAGTTGCACACATCACTTCTGCCTATACTTCCTTGGCAAAAGTTTAGCCCCATCTAATAGCAAGGGAGGCTGGGATATGAGTGGCCATATGCCCAAATAAAACTCTATAACTATAGAATAAGGGGAGACAGGTTTGGGAACAATTAGCAGTCTGTCTCACTTTTCAAATAAATACAAGCCGGAAAAGAAGGCCCAAAGATGGTGTTAGTGACACTGACATGGGTATGAGACATGAAGTCAGAACACAGTGAATTGTCTCCTTACCTGGTTTTGCCCCCTTCAGCTGCTAGCATCTTGACCAGTCAGGCAGAGTCAATCATTTCAGGTATCTGTAAACAAGAACCTGAAGAGCTTTCAAACTCATGACCTTATGATAGTGATGAAAGCATTGGCTGACATTGACTAAAGACACACTCTAGAATGTACTTAGTTGCACTGAACAAACTACACAAGGCCATGCAGTGACATCAGACACCAAACTCACAGACCTCCTCACTAGGTAGCTGGTAAACACCCTTACTAAAAGTGGGTAAGGATACAGTTTCAGTGCATAATGAGGTTGACCTCGCCCATGTAAGCTGGTCAGACAAGACTGCCCATTTCTGTCATCAAGCCCTCATTACTGTTAGCAGATAGCTTTTAATCTTTGCTTGTTAACATTAAGATTGTACAGCACTGAACCTTTCTTTAACAAACTCTTTAGTGGTCTCCTCCCTGAGACAATGGAAAGGGACTTTTAAAACCTCTTTTCCTACTTGGAATCCAAACTGAATCATGGATCCTCATTGCCATAAGAGTCAGTTTCTAGAACATTATCTAATATTATACATCTCCCAAGAAACACAAGTTTAATATAAAACAAATTAAACCTCCAAAGTTGGATGAGGTACACTAAAACTAAGATCAGCTCAGATGAGCTGAGTAATGTGGATTGATAAGCCAGAATTACATCTTCTTCTTTTTGTTTTTTTTTTGAGTCGGAGTTTCGCTCTTGTTACCCAGGCTGGAGGCAATGGCGCGATCTCAGCTCACTGCAACCTCCGCCTCCTGGGTTCAAGCAATTCTCCTGCCTCAGCCTCCTGAGTAGCTGGGACTACAGGCGTGTGCCACCATGCCCAGCTAAGTTTTGTATTTTTAGTAGAGACAGGGTTTCACCATGTTGACCAGAATGGTCTCGACCTCTTGACCTCGTGATCCACCTGCCTTGGCCTCCCAAAGTGCTGGGATTACAGGTGTGAGCCACCGCGTCCGGCCTCAGGCTTACATCTTCTGCAATTTGTGTGTGATACTCTGGAGTATAAACATGTAAGTAATAGAGTTTCCTTGTCCAGTCTGCCTGACTGTCCACTCTGTATTTCAAGGCAAACTTAGTCATCCAGAAAAGGTCAGGAAGGTGGGTAGGGCTAATGCTTTGCACAGTTTAATATGCATAATTAACATGGAGCTAGCTTTGTGAAATCCTAATGTTGTATATTGGCCAATCTGAATGATGGCACATGACCTGAAAGGTATTCTTTCTTATTGCAAGACTCACTTAATTTCCAGTACCACCTAAACTGGTAACATGGGACAAAGAATGAACACTAAATTCTTTGTGTGTACACACACACACACACACACAGACACACACAGACGCATATATATGTATGTGTATACATTCTTTGTATATCAGAAAGACAGGATATCCACCTACCCTCTGTAGGAAATACTTTAGGTGCCCTATTTTGTAAGGAATGGAGGAACTTCCTGAAGAGGTTAGGGAGGGTTTAAACAAATAGATAAACAAAAACACCCAAATCTTTAGATACTAAAGGAGGCTCACTTACTCAAGTTTACAGTTAGGAACATACCCAAAGAAACAACAGTTAGGTAGCATTTTCATCTTCAGAAGAGGAAACGACCTCATATTGCCAAAGATTGACTCGAGTTTCGAAAACCAGTACCTAATATTTAACAGCATCTCTCACACATCAATTTTAAAGCAAGCTTCCGTTTCCTAGGAATCAGGAAAAGGGAAAAAATGGAATTCATGTACATATTATTGCTACTTCACTACGAATCACTTTATCAGATTCCCTTATACTCTAGGAAAAATATCTGTAAATATAATAGACCATACTCATAATCACCGCTCTAGCTATAGAGAATTAATAATTTCTTTCTGAGGCAAAGCACTGGTTCAAACATGGCCATTTCAAAGTGGAAAAAAGTATGTAAAATAAAAGTAGAACCTATTTCTCTTTTTTTAAAAAAGTTTTTCTTCCAACTAATATACTTATTTCTTTACCCAGGTGCATTTTTTTAACAGAGCCCTCTAAAAAACTTCCAGCAGTTGAACTTGGCAGGAAATTGTGTGAGCAGTGATGGATGGCTTTCCTTTATGAGTGTATTTGAGAATCTTTTTTTTTTTTTTTTTTTTTTTTTGAGACAGAGTCTCACTCTGTCACCAGGCACCAGGCTGGAGTGCAGTGGCACAATCTTGGCTCACTGCAACCTCTGCCTCCTGGGTTCAAGCAATCCTTTTGCCTCAGCCTCCCAAGTAGCTGGGACTACAGGTGCACGCCACCACGCCCAGCTAATTTTTTGTATTTTTAGTAGAGACGGGGTTTCACCATGTTGACCAGGATGGTCTCGATCTCTTGACCTCGTGATCCACCCGCCTCAGCCTCCCAAAGTGCCGGGATTACAGGCGTGAGCCACCGCGCCCCGCCTGTATTTGAGAATCTTAAGCAAATTAGTGTTTTTTGACTTCGGTACTAAAGAATTTCTACCTGATGCAGCATTAGTCAGAAAACTTAGCCATGTGTTATCCAAGTTAACTTTTCGGCAAGAAGCTAGGCTTGTTGGGTGGCAATTTGATGATGATGATCTCAGTCTTATTAAAGGTGCTTTTAAACTAGTAACTGCTTAAATAAAGTGTAACCAAAGCCATTAAGTGCTCTGGGACCCCATTACTCTAAGCCTGGTAGTTAAAAAAAATCTTGCAAAAGGATGCCAAAAAGGAAGTGGAAAGAAATTTAATTAGATGATACATGCAATAGTTTTGTGTTTTAGCTCTCCTGCTAGGGTTATCAGCTCCTTGAAGGAACTCTTGTTCATCTTTGTGTTACTTTTGGTCTGGGTTACATCAACTGGTATACTGAATACATATTAACTTAGTATAGTGCCTGGCATTTAACAGATTCTCAACAAATATTTGCTGAATATGAGAGAATAAATAGCTACTGAATAAAGAAACAAGGATTATTTAAAATCAGAGAGAAAACTCCATATATGTTATTTAATCCAAACAGTTTAATTCAAACAATCTGGAATGTAAAAATCACTTTCTCATATTAGAAGGAGATCGGACTCCCAAAAAAGATTAGCATTCTTTAGTCAAGCAAAAATTGGCAGTTAACAAACAGCTAAATCAGGCTTAAAATTCAGGTCCTCTCCAGTATCTCCTAAGTCATGTGTAATTCCAAATATGACATTAGAGATCAAAGAAGAAAGGGAAAATGTTTCCCATTCTTTTTTACTTTATATAAATTAAGGGTACCTGGCCCTAATCTTTTTTCCAACACTTCCCCAAATAACCCTTCCCTACAAAGAAAGAAGTCTAAGAAAACTCTCTAAACATATTTAAGTAGAGGCAAGCCTGAAAAAAAATGCAAAAACCTAAATGGTGTTAGCCTATGGTTCACCTATTTTCTTGGCACCTCAAATTAATGGCTTGGGTGTTGGTGTAGGGAACACTTGGCCTGTATATTGAGGTAGTCGCTAGAAAAAATTCTGGGCACAACATCTGTTTAGCAATTGGGGACATATAAATATGTTATCATAACGTTTTGGAGCCGATATTTTACAGATCAACTAATTATTCCTCTCTCTAACGTTACAGATGAGCAAGCGCAAATGATTTGCCCAGGGGTTAAAAAACGACTTCCTTACACAGTGGCAGCATCAGAACTGAAATTCAGGTCTTTTGTCTCCTAGTGCAGTGTTTTTCCCATTACAATACAGTGACTTTGTAAAGCAGGGTTAATTACACTTCACGGCGTTTACATCTTAATCACAAACTATGGGTCAAATACTTAAATTGAACTTCTTTGTCTAGCTTCAAGTGATTCGGTGGCAAGATTTACTAGTGAGGCTGCTGCCTATAGGCCTATGCTGGGCGAGTTCCTTATTTTTATATCCAGAAATTAGTCAGAGCTTGGCAAGTAAGACTTCTGTATATAATAATGCATGGGCCAATGTCTCCTGTAGCATCTTACTCACATTCAGGAAGCAGGGCCAATTCTTTCATAACCCACAGGTAACTGTCCTTTCTCAAACAGTGTAGGTGGGTATTAAAGCACCTTTGGTGGGATAGCTGCACAGGTGTTGCTTCTGAATTGGTGTTGAGGAAGTAGGCATAAAACCTCATAAAGAACTGCGATTGGTACCTGAACACTTTAAAATCCCATGGGGAAGACATGCATGGGATGGCAGCACATACCTCTTAACCATAACTCAAGACACGGCAGTTCAGATTTCATGCATGACCCTAATTCACACTTAGATGAGATCAATGAAGGAAGAATCATCCTGTAATAGTAGACCAATAACAGGTAAGTAATAGTTAGAGCACATGAGACAAAGGACAAGGAACAGGTTGCCTTATTACATTTTACAAAGTATCATTTTCCCCAGTAGTCAAGGTAGCATGGGCTGTATTTCTTCAACAGGTCACATGCCTGAACAGGGTTGCAGATGTCAAAGACAGTGAACAAATCCTCACTAAGGAAAAGGTATTTAGGATACGGACACTTATACCACAGATGACAATTCTGCTTGACAGAGATGGCTTCTTGGATGTTTTTAATCCATGGTGAAGAAAGTGTTGCTCCTATTTGAAAGTCGATGAGTTGACTGAAGAAACTGTTGATTACAGAAAAACAAAAATCTTCTCTAGATAGCTGGCTGATGGCTGGGAAAGTCACAAATCTCCAGGAGCACTGGATTTCAGGAAAGTTGAGTCCATTCTCAAAATCCCTTTTTAAAACTGTTAGAGAATGCATAATAAAATAAAGCAATAACAAAAAACCCTCACACGTAATATGTGACTGCTGCTTGTTCTACTTTTTGGAAGTAATACTAGCCACATTAGAAAGTCCTTAAACTCTGCATTTGGGGCTGAGCATGATGGCTCACACCTGTGATCCCAGCACTTTGGGAGGCTGAGGCAGGTGGATCACCTGACGTCAGGAGTTCAAGACCAGCCTGACCAACATGGGGAAACTCCATCTCTACTAAAAATACAAAAATTTAGCTGGATATGGTGGTGCATGCCTGTAATCCCAGCTACTTGGAGGCTTAGGCAGAAGAATCACCTGAGTCTATGAGGCAGAGGATGCGTTGAGCCGAGATTGTGCCACTGCACTCCAGCCTGGGCAAAAAGAGTGAAATTCTTCTCAAAAAACAAAACAAAACACAAAAAAATCCACAAAACTCTGCATTTGGAAAACAAATAAAAAATAACATAATTTACATAATTCTCACACTTCATCACAGATAACAATTTCCTGTTTTTGACAAAGCAAAACAAAAGCTAGAAACTGCTCACTGCAGACGTAACAATGTTATATTCTATAATCTAAGGTCCATTATGCTTTGATAAAATTATATTATATATAATCAACTTCTTTGTGTAACTTGAAAAGACATCAAATTCCATAATATATATGGAACTCCATGTGTTTTGGTAATATATTTGATATGTTTTGTTAATAAAATAAATTTAAAAAGTCAATCAATAAAAATGTGGCAGAAAAGATAAATTCATTATGTCAGTATTTGATTAAATGTAATACAGAAAATTGGGATTCTTTCACTGCATATCACCAAACACTGGGTGTCACTTAATTGAAATAAAACACTGATAGCCATGGACTATTTACAAATATACCGAAATTTTTAAATGAGAGAAACTTCAACAAAAACCTTGATGATTAAAAAATTCAAATTGTGCTACATAGACTGTATTCCAAAATTGCTGCTAAAAAATTTGCTTTTAGTTTACAAGACATAATTCAGGAGAACCTCAAAGAAAAATGTAGCAATTAAGTTTGGAAAAGCTATAAAAGAGACTTCTACATTTTGAATAGACATTTTTCCCTTTCCCAAAATGTGTATTAGTCAAGAAGCACGTTCATAAATTTCACTAAAGAAAATAGCCAGGTGCGATGGGCTCACACCCAATCCCAGCACTTTGGGAGGCTAAGGTGTGTGGATCACAAGGTCAGGAGTTTGAGACCAGCTTGGCCAACATGGTAAAACCCCCCATCTCTACTAAAAATATAAAAATTAGCCAGGCATGGTGGCAGGCACCTGTAATCACAGCTACTCGGGAAGCTGAGGCAGGGGAATCATTTGAACCTGGAAGGCGGAGGGTGCAGTGAGCCCAGATGGCACCACTGCACTCCAGCCTGGGTGATAGAGTGAGACTCCATCTCAAAAAATTAAACAAAAACTAAGGAAACCTTAATAAACTATCACCTTAAATTAATAATAATGGATTGGCCGGGCACAATGTAGAGCAAGACTCGTCTCAGGGGGAAAAAAAAAAAAAAAGAGATACTGTATTCTTAGTAATGTGACAGGTTCACTCCATCAAGTGGCTTTTACAAAGGTAAGATCGTATCACACTGCAGTCAACTACAAAACCAAAGATACCAAAATCCAAATTTAAAGAAACACATTTCTAAAGGAAGCCTATTTAAAGGCTTTAACATTTACGAGGATTTCACTGTCACAAGTACATTTTACAAAAATATAGTTTCATAGGTTTCATGAAATGTGAACAAGCTTACTGTTATCTAACATCTAGAGTAAATGATTAAACAGTCAATGCAAAGTTGTATTACTAAATAAATTGGAAGCCACAGAGTCAATATTCCTCATAAAAATAAGTAAGAGTCCATCATGGTCTTGGTTGTCCAATTCTATTATTAGTTCCATATCTACTTGGTATATTTGTAAAACCAGTCCTCAATCCTTGAGTTGCTCCAATTCCTGGAACTCTAAGTCCTTGATTAAGCATGCTGCTATAAGGTGTGTGTCCATGATTAAGACCAAAACCATAAGGCCTTGTTTGTGTGTTCAGAAGAATAACTGGGTTCACATTTTTCCCAGGAGTGTTAAATGAAAATTCTGGAGGTGGACTACTAGGTTTAGCAGGAGTTGATGTAACTGGGTTCAAATCATCAGTACCCTTTAAAAGAGGCATTGGGATTATGTGATGATCTGAAAAATTGAGGACATTGGCTGCAACAGGCCCAGACAATAAGGCAGGCCTAATCCAGTCATCCTTGAAAATTTGAACAGTCAGAGTAGACACCAGAGTGTACAGTCTGTTGGTCACATGAGCAAGAACCATTTGTTCATTTGCATCTCGTCGAATTCTTACATGCACTGATCCAGCCTAAAAGGGGCAAAATCATAAGAAAGAGATTGCTTAGAATTATAAGGAAAATTCCATTAGAAACAAATATTTTATTTATGATTTGGTCAGTTCTTGGTATTTTATCTGAAAGAAAAAGCTTAATGTTATTTTTAAAGACTACTTGCTGGTAATTATCACTGCAATGAGTTAAAGAAATAATTTGTGACTCTTTAAGATACAGAAAAGGAAAATCCATGTACAATCAAGATAGCATGTTATAATACAAGGAAGAATATAAATGAAGCATATGAAAAATACAGTGGAAGAGCCAAAAAGGTAGGTATTTCAAAAAGTGGAGACAGGCATTCCACACTGAGGGAAAAGCAATTAAAATGTATGGCATACTTGGTAAGACTAAGCAATAATACTAATATATAAAGAAGTCCTGGCTGGGCTCAGTGGCTCACATCTGTAATCGCAGCACTTTGGGAGGCTGAGGTGGGCAGATCACCTGAGGTCAGGAGTTTTGAGACCAGCCCGGCCAACATGTTGAAACCATGTCTCCACTAAAAATACAAAAAATTAGCCAGGCGTAGTGATGCATGCCTGTAATTCCAGATACTAGGGAGGCTGAGGCAGGAGAACTGCTTGAACTTGGGAGGCAGAGGTTGCAGTGAGCCGAGATCACACCACTGCACTCCAGCCTGAGTGACAGAGTGAGATCCTGTCTTGAATTTAAAAAAAAAAGAAAAAAGAAAAAAAAAAAGGAAGTCCAAGTATTTCAGTGAGCAGAAGAAGAAGAGAAAAGAAAGAGAAGGAAGAGAGGAAGGAAAAAAGAGAGGGAGAAACAGAAGAAGGGAAGTGAGGAAGGCAGAGAGGGAGAAACAGAGGAAGGGAAGAAGGAAGAAGAAAAATGATAGGTAGGTAATAAGGTTAAAAAGAGGCTACCAGAGGATTCTAAAGTGAGAAGGAGTTTTTATTTAACAGAAACAACCAAACAGAAATAAAATAATCGGAGTTCAGAAAAACTGTAGGTATGGATGACTAGTAATTAGGTAGGAAAAAAACTGCAACAATCTAGATTAGAAATGAGGAGAGCTTCCAGGCGTGGTGGCTCATGCCTGTAATTCCAGCACTTTGGGAGACCAAGGCAGGTGGATCACCTGAGATCAGGAGTTCGAGACCAGCCTGGCCAACATGGTGAAACCCCATCTCTACTAAAAATTCAAAAATTAGCTGGGCATGGTGGCATACACCTGTAATCCCAACTACTCAGGAGGCTGAGACAGGAGAATCGCTTGAACCCGGTAAGTGGATATTGCAGTGAGCAGAGATCATGCCACTGCACTCCAGTCTGGGTGACAGAGCAAGACTTCGTCTCAAAAAACTAAAGAAAACAAAACAAAAGGAATGAGGAGAGCTGAACTAGGATAATAGTGGAATCAGAGAGGGACAAATAGATACATCATATTCCAGGGGCAGAAATGGAAGGACTTGATATCCAACTGGAAATAAAGGATGAGGGAGACTGACTCATCAAAGATGATCTCAGGGTTTCTAAGGGATAGAGAGCACCAGGCATTACAAAGAGGGTTAGAAGTACATTTGTTAACTTGAAAAAATGTTTACCATAAATTATGGGGTTTTTTTTAGTTATGTCTTTTTGTTTTCTTTGTAAGGATGAGGTCTCACCATGTTGCTCAGGCTGGTCTTGAACTCTTAGGTTCAAGCAATCCGCCTGCCTCAGGCTCCCACAGGGCTGGGATTACAGGTGTAAGTCACCATGCCTGGCCCATAAACTATGTTTTTAAAGTAGATAATACAATAGTAGGTACAGCAAATGATCCTGTTTTGGTGTACACACACACACATACACACACACACACACACACACACACACACACACACACCCCTCTATAATCCCACAGCCTGAGCAACATGGTGAAACCCCATCTCTACCAAAAAAAAAAAAAAAAAAAAAAAAAAAGCTGGGTATGGTGGCACATGTCTGTAGTCCCAGCTACTCAGCTACTCAGGAAGCTGAGGTGGGAGAACTGATTGAACTTGAGAGGTTGAGGCTGCAGTGGCTGCACCACTGCACTCCAGCCTGGGTGACAAAGAGAGACCCTGTATCAATAAAAAAAAAAAAAAAAGAATTCAATCCCATTTACAATATCCACAAAAGAAATAAAATACCTAGAAATACATCTAACCAAGGAGGTGAAAGATCTCTACAAGGAGAACTGTGAAACACTGCTTAAAGAAATCACGAATGATATAAACAAATGGAAAAACATTCCATGCTCATAGATTGGAAGATCAGTATCATTAAGATGGCCACACTGTCCAAAGTAATCTACAGATTCAATGTTATTCTTATCAAACTACCAATGTCATTTTTCACAGGACTGGGAAATTCTAAAATACATATGGAACCAAAAGAGAGCCCAAATAGCTAAAGCAATTCTATGCAGAAGGAATGAAGTTGGAAGCATCGCATTACCTGAATTCAAACTACAAAGCTAACGTAGCCAAAACAGCATGGTACTGGTAAAAAAAAACACACACACAAAGACCAGTGGAACAAAATAAAGAACCCAGAAATAAAGCCATATACCTACAGGCATCTGATATTCGACAAAGTCAACAAAAATAGGCAGTGGGGAAAGGACTCCCTATTCAACAAATGGTACTAGGATAGCTGGCTAGCCGTATGCAGAAGAATGAATCTGGACCTTTACTTTTTTTGTTTGTTTTCTTTGTGATGGCGTTTTACTCTGTCGCCCAGGCTGGTGTGCAGTGGCATGATCTTAGCTCACTACAACCTCCTGGGTTCAAGCGATTCTCCTGCCTTAGTCTCCCAAGTAGCTGGGATCACAGGTGTGCTCCACCACGCCTGGCTAATTTTTGTATTTTTAGTAGTGACAAGGTTTCAGCATGTTGGCCAGACTGGTCTTGAACTCCTGAGCTCAAGTGATCCGCCAGCCTCAGCCTCCCAAAGTGCTAGGATTACAGGCATGAACCACCATGCCCGGCTGTGGACCTTTACTTTTCACCATATAAAAACATTAACTGAAGATGGATTAAATATTTCAGTTTAAGACCTTGTCTGGGCACTGTGGCTCATGCCTATAATCCGAGCAGTTTGGGATCACCTGAGGTTAGGAGTTCAAGACCAGCCTGACCAACATGGTGAAACCCTGTATCTACAAAAATGAAAATAATAATAATAATAATAATAATAATAATAATAATAATAATAAGTGTGGTGGCAAATGCCTGTAGTCCTAGTTACTTGGGAGGCTGAGGTAGAAGAATCACTTGAACTCAAGAGGCAGAGGTTGCAGTGAGCCGAGATCATGCCACTACACTCCAGCCTGGGAGATAGAACTAGATTTCATCTCAAAAAAAGCAAATGTGGCCAGGCGCAGTGGCTTATTCCTGTAATCCCAGCACTTTGGGAGGCCAAGGTGGCAGATCATGAGGTCAGGGGATTGAGACCATCCTGACTCACACAGTGAAATCCCATCTCTACTAAAAATACAAAAAATCAGCCGGGCGTGGTGGTGCATGCCTGTGGTTCCAGCTACTTAGGAGGCTGAGGTGGGAGAATCACTTGAACCCGGGAAGCGGAGGTTGCAGTGAGCTGAGATCATGCCAGTGCACTCCAGCCTGGGTGACAGAGCAAGACTCCATCTCAAAATAAAATCAATCAATCAATCAATCAATCAATCAATTAATCTAAGACCTCAAACTGTAAGAATCCTGCAAGACAACCAAGAAACACCTACAGAATGGAAGAAAATATTTGCAAATTATGTGTGAGACAACGGTCTGATATCAGAATCTATACAGAACTTAATTGAACAAGCAAAAACAACCCCATTAAAAAATGAGAAAAAAGGCCAGGTGCAGTGGCTCATGCCTGTAATCCCAGCACTTTGGGAGGCTGAGGTGGGCAGATAATGAAGTTAGGAGATCGAGACCATCTTGGTCAACATGGTAAAACCTTGTCTCTACTAAACATACAAAAAAATTAGCTGGGCATGGTGGCATATGCCTGTAGTCCCAGCTACTCAGGAGGCTGAGGCAGGAGAATTGTTTGAACCCAGGAGGTGGAGATTGCACCACTGCACTACAGCCTGGGCAACAGTGTGAGGCTCCATCTCAAAAAAAAAAAAAAAAAAACAGATGCTTCTCAAAAGAAGTCATACAAGTGGCCAAGAAATATAAAAAAAGTGCTCATCATCACTAAGCAGCAGAGAAATGCAAATCAAAACCACAATGAGATACTATCCCACACCAGTCAGAATGGCTATTATTATTATTTATTAATTTATTTTTTGAGACAGAGTCTTGCTCTATTGCCCAGGATAGAGTGCAGTGGCACAATCTCAGCTCACTGCAACCTCCACCTCCCGGGTTCAAGCAATTCTCCTGCCTCAGCCTCCCAAGTAGCTGGGAGTACAGGCCCATGCCACCACACCTGGCTAATTTTTGTATTTTTAGTAGAGACGCGGTTTCACCATGTTGGTCAGGCTGGTCTCAAACTCCTGACTTCAGGTGGTCTACCTGCCTTCGCCTCCCGAAGTACTGGGATTACAGTATAAGCATGAGCCACCATGCCCAGTCAGAATGGTTATTATTAAAAAGTCAAAAAAAAAAAAAAAATAGGTGCTGGTGAGTCTGCAGAGAAAAGAGAAAGTCACAGTGGGGATGTAAATTAGTTCGGCCACTCTGAAAAGCAGTTTGAAGATTTCTCAAAGAACTTAAAACAGAACTAGCATTTGACCCAGGAATCCCATAACTGGGTATATATCCAAAAGACAAAAAATCTTTCTACCAAAAAGACACATGTACTTGCACGTTCATCACAGCACTATTTACTATAGCAAAGTGAATAGTGCTGTTGGGCACCTAGCTGTTGGGCACCTAGGATTGATGAGCACCTAGGTTGGATTGCTTAATGAAGAGTTCGAGACCAGCCTGGGCCACATAGCGAGATTCCACTGTTACAAAAATAAATTAGCCAGGCATACATCTGCAGTCCCAGCTACGAGGAAGGCTGAGGCAAGAAAACTGCTTGGGCCTAGAGGGTTGAGGCTGCAGTGAGCCATGACTGTGCCCCTGCACTCTAGGCTGGGTGACAGAGCAAAACTCTGTCTCAATAAATAAAAAATAAAATAAAACATAAAGAAACAGAGGGAGAGGGAGTAGTATCAAGGATGACAGTACTTACCTCTAGATGGCAGAATTATTTAGGATATTTAATCTCTTTCTTATGACTTAGTTACAAGTTCTTATTTCTTTTTTTTTTTTTTTTTTGAGACAGAGTTTCACTCTTGTTATCCAGGCTGGAGTGCAATGGCGTGATCTCGGCTCACCGCAACCTCCGTCTCCTGGGTTCAAGCAATTCTCCTGCCTCAGCCTCCCGAGTAGCTGGGACTACAGGCGTGCACCACCATGCCCAGCTAATTTTTGTATTTTTAGTAGAGACGGGGTTTCACCATGTTGACCAGGATGGTCTCAATCTCTTGACCTCGTGATCCACCCGCCTCGGCCTTCCAAAGTGCTGGGATTACAGGCTTGAGCCACCGCGCCCGGCTCTTATTTCTTTTTAACAATTGGGTACTGTTTGCCTAATAAAAACTTTATGTGTGTGTGTGTGTGTGTGTGTGTGTGTGTGTGTGTGTGAGTGATAGATGGCCAGGCATGGTAGCTTATGCCTGTAATCTCAGCACTTTGGGAGGATGAGGCAGATGGATCACTTGAGCTCAGGAGTTTGAGACCAGAGTTTGGACAACATGGCGAAACCTGATCTCTACAAAAAATACAAAAACTAGCTGGGCGTGGTGGTGCACACCTATAGTCACAGCTACTTGGGAGGCTAAGGTGTGAGGATGGTTGAGTCCATGAAGCAGAGGTTGCATTGAGCCACTGCACTCCAGGATGGGCAACAGAGACAGACCCAGTCTCAAAAAAATAGAGTAAATAAAATTGAATAAAATGTCCAGCAGACACTCCATGTTGGTTTCTAAATAAACACAGATTAAAAAAAAATTCTTACAAAACATAAACTGCACATAAATTAGCCAAATTGTTTAGTTATGATGCTATCTGAACCTATGACTTGAAATACTAAATACAGAACAATCGTAAGAGAGTCACTGTCAATCATGAGATAGAAAAAATACCTATATTCCTTAAATTTGACTTCTAGTTTATTACTCTTTAAAAAATTTTTCTTTTGTCTTTTCTTCTTTGGCACAATTTGAAATTTCATTGTTATTCAATGGTTTGTTACTTTTAGCTAAGACAAGCCACGTCTAGAAATCGAGTCATCTTTGATTTCTTCCTTTTCTTTGCCACTACCATTGACAGTTGTCACTATGTAACTATTAAAGATGCCATATCCTCTTTTAGTCTGATATGGAAATCAAAGTAATTAAAATAAGGAAACTATTTTCCGAGTATGAACTAGAAAAGTCTCCTATAATCACAGTGCATGTGTTAATTTACAGCTTTCGTGATATTAACTTTTAGCAGCTCAAAAGCTTGTTTTATTAAGTTTCTGGGTCTTAACCAGGGACTTAACAGGGTGTGATCTAGAGGCCAAATTCTGAAATGATGACTACATTTTTTGTGTTTATAAGCCATCCAATGTCACTAGTAAAATCAAAAGAATAATTAGGCTGGGCGTGGTGGCTCACACCTGTAATCTCAGTACTTTGGGAGACCAAGGCAGGTGATCATGAGGTCAGGAGTTCAAGACCAGCCTGGCCAAGATGGTGAAACCCCGTCTCTACTAAAAATATAAAAATTAGCCAGGTGCAGTGGCAGGTGCCCATAATCCCAGCTAATTGGGAGGCTGAGGCAGGAAGAATCGCTTGAACCCGGGAGGCAGAGGGTGCAGTGAGATAAGATCACGACACTGCACTCTATCCTGGGCAACAGAGCAAGACTAGGTCTCAAAAAAAATAAGAAGAATAATTAAGTGGTCACTTTGGCAGCGCACATACTAAAACTGGAACAATACAGAGAAGATTTGCATGGCCTCTGTGCAAGAATGACACGAAAATTCACGAAGCGTTCCATATTTTTAAAAACTGATTAATTTTTAAAAATAAAGAAAATAAGGAAAGTGATTAAAAATGAACTCTAAGACTGAAGTGTATAGTTCTAAAAGGCATTCTAGAAGACAGTTTGGGAATTTGCATCAAAAGCCATAAAAAAGATGAATATTTCCTGATTTACAAAAATTTCTAAAAATTAGTCTTAAGAAATAATCACAAATATTTAAAAAGTTTATCCCTAAAAATGTTTATCTTGGGCCAGGTGCAGTGGCTCATGCTTGTAATCCCAGCACTTTGGGAGGCTGAGGTGGGCATATCAGGAGGTCAGGAGATCAACACCATCCTGGCTAACATGGTGAAACCTCGTCTCTACTAAAAATACAAAAAATTATCTGGGCTTGGTGACACATGCCTGTAGTCCTAGCTGCTTGAGAGGCTCAGGCAGGAGAATCGCTCGAACCCAGGAGGTGGAGGTTGTGGTGAGCCGAGATCACGCCATTGCACTCCAGCCTGGGCAACAGTGTGAGACTCCATCTCAAAAACAAAAACAAAAACAAACAAAAAGGTGTATCCCAGACATGTTAAAATAGGAAAAATAGAAGATAATTCTAAATATTCATTAAGGGACTGATGAAAGAAATTATGGCAGATTTATATAACATAAAACTAAGAAAACAAACTATAAGACCTTCAAGGTAACACAATCTATGCAGCAGGAAGCAACAGCACATCTGACTGACCTAAAAACCCCAAAGCAGCTAACAAGACTTAATGGAAATCTAGGACAGCCAATATGAGAAAGGCAGCTGAAACTGAGAGGAGTTTTGCACATTTCAACAGTGGGTAAATATACTGGGTCTGCAATAAGGGCTGGAACAGTTTGAGCCCTATGAGTTCCTGAAAGTAACTAAGCAAAGCTCCCCTCTAGAAAAAAAACCCGTATCAAGAAGAAGCAATGGGAAGAAAATCCAAACTGAGTAGTACAGTTGAGACAAAGGATAGAAGAGGTTCAGATAAAAATGTAAGGCAGGAGGCCGGGCGCAGTGGCTCAAGCCTGTAATCCCAGCACTTTGGGAGGCCGACGCGGGTGGATCACGAGGTCGAGAGATCGAGACCATCCTGGTCAACAGGGTGAAACCCCGTCTCTACTAAAAATACAAAAAATTAGCTGGGCATGGTGGCTCGTGCCTGTAATCCCAGCTACTCAGGAGGCTGAGGCAGGAGAATTGCCTGAACCCAGGAGGCGGAGGTTGCGGTGAGCCGAGATCGTGCCATTGCACTCCAGCCTGGGTAACAAGAGCGAAACTCCGTCTCAAAAAAAAAAAAAAAAAAAAAAAAAAATGTAAGGCAGGACCAGCCACGGTGGCTCGTGCCTGGAATCCCAAAACTTTGGGAGGCCAAAGCAGTAGAATTGCTTAAGGTTAGGAGTTCAAGACCAGCCTGGGCAACACAGCAAGACTCAGTTTCTACAAGAAAAATAAAAAACATCAGCCGGGCATGGTGGCATGTACCTGTAATTCCAGCTACTGGGAAGTTTGAGGTAAGAGGATCACTTGAGCCCAGAAGTCTGAGACTACAGTGAGGTATATCTATACCATTCACTCAAGCCTGGGTGAGAGGGCAGAACTCTGTCTCCTAAAAAAAACAACAACGATAGGCCAGGCACAGTGGCTCACACCTGTAATCCCAGCACTTTGGAAGGCTGAGACAAGTGATCACCTCAGGTCAGAAGTTTGAGACCGGCCTGGCCAACATGGTGAAACCCCAGCTCTACCAAAAAATACAAAAATTAGCCAGGCATGGTGGCATGCACCTGCAGTCCCAGGTTCTGGGGAGACTGAGGTGAAAGGATAACTTGAACCGGGAGGTGGAGGTTACAGTGAGCTGAGATTATACCACTGCACTCACTCCAGCCTGGGCAACAGAGACCCTGTCTCTAAAAAAAAAAAGTGAAAATGGCAGAGAGGAACGAAGCCAGAATAAAAAACTTTCTTCTTTTACAAAATCATCAGAAGGTGGAGCTCTAGACTCATACACACTACCCTAAACCACTCCTAATTTTAAAGTTCAGAAAAACTAATTTCACATAAAAATGAGCAACAGAAAAGGACAGAGGGTCAAATCCCACACAAAGTTATGTAAGAAAAAAAGAGACTATAAAACCGATTACAAAAGATCATAAGACAGATGAAACTACGTGTGAGATAAAAACTATAAGCTACTTTTTCAAAACCAGTCAAAAGATATAAAACAAGAACATAAATCAGAATTAGAAAACCTTAGAAATGATATGACAATTATAATACAAGAAAAAAGATCATTTTAGAAATGAAGATTTAGCCATAATAAATAAAAACATAAGTAAACATACAGGTATACTTTAAGAGACATAAAAATTAAAAAAAAAAATCAAAAGGAAATTAAGAGGAGATAAGAATTTGAGAGAAAATAACAAAAAAGAAAGGCAAAGATCCAACATGGACATAACAGAAGTTTCCAAAAAAGAAAACCAGGCCAGGCATGGTGGCTCATGCCTATAATCCCAAGCACTTTCGGAGGCCAAGGCAGGTGGATCACTTGAGGTCAGGAGATCGAGACCAGCCTGGCCAACAAGGTGAAACTCTCTCTACTAAAAATACAAAAATTAGCCGGGCGTGGTGTTACACACTTGTAATACCAGCTACTCAGATGGCTGAGGCAGGAGAATTGCTTGAACCCAGAGGGCGGAGGTTGCTGTGAGCTGAGACTGCACCACTGCACTTCAGCTTAGGTGACAAGAGTGGAACTCCATCTCGGGGCGGGAAGGGGGGTACCACACAAAGAAAAGAACCAATGTTATAAACTATAATTAGATGCTTTAAAAAATTATTTTTGAAATAGCATTATTGAAGGGGTGTACTGTGGGCCGGGCGCGATGGCTCATGCCTGTAATCCCAGCATTTTGGGGGATTAAGGTGGGCAGATCACTTGAGGTCAGGAGTTCAAGACCAGCTTGGCCAACATGGTAAAATGCCATCTCTACTAAAAATCACAAAAATTAGCTGGGCATGGTGGTGTGTGCCTGTAATCCTAGCTACTCAGGAGGCTGAGGCAGGAGAATCGCTTGAACCCGGGGTGAGGGTAGAGGTTGCAGAGAATCAAGATTGCACCACTGCACTCCTGCCTGGACAACAGAGCCAAGAGTCCATTTCAAAAAACAAACAAACAAACAAACAAATAAAAACAAAAAGAAGAAGAAGAAGAAAGAAGAAAGAAGAAGAAAGAAAAAAGAAAGAAGAAATGGTGCACTGCATACTTGAAACAACTGAGGCAGAATGACCAATGCCAACACATATTCTAGTAAAGGCACTGAACTTTAAAAAAAAAAAAAGGCTTTGGGCATCCAAGTAAAAAGATCAAGTTATATAGGAAGGAAAAGGAAAAAAATTAGACTATCATTAGGCATTGTCTCAGCAATGCTTCACGCCAGAAATAAAAGGGATAAAGTATTTTTAAGAAACTTGAAACAAAATGTATACTAAAGATTTTATATCCTGTCAAATTTTTAATTATAATGTCCACAAGCTGCTTTCAACATTCAAGAATTTAGAGAATATTGTTCCCAACAGCCCCTTTTAAAGAATTTACTAGAGAAGTGTAGTGTGGTGGGTCCCCCACCAGGTTACTCAAGGGTGTATGTCCGCTGCCTGAACTCTGAAGGTCAGGCAGTGAGCCAAAGCCATGGTGCCCAGCTGAGGAGCAAGCGTCCCTGAGAACCAAAGATTTTAGAGAGCATCTGAGACCCTACCAAGGAAAACGGTCTCATCACATGCATATAGTAGGCAAAGAGTGAGAAAACTAGCTTAAAAGCAGCTTAGAAATGGGAGGTGGGTAGATCCCTAAATCTGTCCTGCTGCTGCCCAGGAGTTCTCCATAGGTTAAGTTCTAATAAACTCACCTACTGGCCATGCTGGACCTATCCAAGTCATCTTTGGTCTCTTGGCACTTTAGTCACTTGGCACCCTCTCAGTAAGGTGGGAGGGGATGTTACAGTCTCAAGTTTTTCTTGTAATGAGTAAGTCTTAGACAGCCAAAACAATGAGAGAGGGGAAGAGTTGGAAAAGGTAGAGGTGAAGCAACCATTTTCCCACTATGAAAGTGTAGCCTGAAACTAAAGACTACAAAGTAGATAACATCATTGAACTGCTGGACCAACTTTGATCTGCATATCTATGAAATTTGTGTTACATTAGAAAAATCAAGCCGGGTGCGGTGGCTCAAGCCTGTAATCCCAGCACTTTGGGAGGCTGAGGCGGGTGGATCATGAGGTCGAGAGATCGAGACCATCCTGGTCAACATGGTGAAACCCCATCTCTACTAAAAATACAAAAAACTAGCTGGGCATGGTGGCGCATGCCTGTAATCCCAGCTATTCAGGAGGCTGAGGCAGGAGAATTGCCTGAACCCAGGAGGCGGAGGTTGCAGTGAGCCGAGATCGTGCCATTGCACTCCAGCCTGGGTAAGAAGAGCGAAACTCCGTCTCAAAAAAAAAAAAAAAAAGAAAAATCAAACCCTCTTTGGCTTTTTGAAAATGATACTGTGGAAGAGTATTTAATGACATAGAATACTGTTCGTGATAAATTAACTAAATAAAAAGAGCAAATTATAAAACAACATGATCTCATTTTCTTTTTTTTGGAGATGAAGTCTCACTCTGTTACCCAGGCTGGAGTGCAATGGTGTGATCTTGGCTCACTGCAACTTCACCACCCAGGTTCAAGTGATTCTCCTGCCTCAGCCTCCTGAGTAGCTGGGATTACAGGTGCGTGCCACACCATCATACCCAGCTAATTTTGTATTTTTAGTAGAGACGTGGTTTCACCATGTTAGCCAGGCTGGTCTTAAACTCCTGACCTCAGGTGATCTGCCTGCCTCGGCCTCCCAAAAGTGCTGGGATTACAGGTGTGAGCCACTGCACCCAGCCCATGATCTCATTTTCCAAGGGGAATAAATGTATAAATACCAAAATATCAACAGCAGTTTTCTTTAGATGATAAGATTATAGCGATTTACATTTTCTGTATTTTCCTCACCATTCCTGATGTATAAGTAAAACCATGTCATAATAAAGTCTCTCTGGTATTGAGGTTCAAACTGAATTAGAAAATATGGAATTTTATGCTGAAGCATGTTGTGTTATTGCAGTTCTTCAAAATATTCAGTAAAATACTAAAATTAGAACTGCAGTTAAAAAAGAAAGTAATTGCATTTTTTAAAACATTTTCTTATTTGGGAATTACACTGACTACAAATTTGTCTTATCTGGACACTCTTGTATTATGATCATTAGCATGTTTGAAGGGAAAAAATTAAAACATTCCTCGGCCAGGTGCCGTGGCTCACGTCTGTAATTCCAATACTTTGGGAGGTCAAAGTGGGAGGACTGCTTGAGGTCAGGAGTTTGAGACCAGCCTGGTTAACAAAGTGAGACCCTGTCCCTAAACAACAACAAAAAAATCCCTCAATTAGGTAATTGAATCCCTGTACATTTTACACTCTTCTTAACATAACTAGGAATCAAAGGCTCTATGAAAATTTTAAGGAAATACTTTGTTTTCAGTTTTAAAAATGAAAGACTATATTTTAAATTATAACTAAAGTCCTATGTAAAAGAACATACCAATGAGCCAAAACCTAGGGTCCAAAAATGTTCATTTCGGACTTCTAAAACTCCATCCAAGGTAGATACCTAACCAAAAACAGAAATAAGTGATCAGAGTTGTCTGTACTTAACATATTCAATGCAGTTTAGTCATATTATGGACTTGGTTTAACTTAAGAATAACACAGCCAAATCTTGCCGAAGGACACTTATTAGCTAAGAGAAGTCTCAGACCATTCAAGATACCATTCCTGTTTGTTCCATATTGACCCAACCTTGCTTTCCCAGTTTCACGTTTGCCCCAATTATTTTAGAATCAGGCCCCCACTGCTCAGTTTTAAACCCCTACCCCCACCAGTTTTTCGACAGTGTATAGTTTTCATTTTATAAATATGAAATATGTATCTAGCACTTTGTGGTATCAGATTTTACTTAATTTTTTATTTTCTCAATCACTTCTTTCTCTGGATTCCCTTACAACAAATCTCTGCACAACACAGGATGTTGTTTGGCTGTGAGCCTACAAGAAATTACAAGGCCAGATATATAGTATGTAGCCCACTGGTACACTGGGACAGGATATTTACCCTAGGCCAGGCTTCACTAGTTGAGAGAAGTAGTGAGTTATATTGGTAAAAGTGGCCTCTGTGACACTGACAATCAAAGGTTTAAAACAGTTTCAACATCAAAATAGTTCATTATTTTATTTCTTCATTAGTTAGTAGGTAGAAATATGAAACAGCTTAAAAGGAAGTCTAGGCTGGGCACTGTAGCTCATATCTGTAATCCCAGCACTTTGGGAGGCTGAGATTGAGCCAGCCGTGGTGGTGGGTACCTGTGATCCCAGCTACTCAGGAGGCTGAGGCAGAAGAACTGCTTGAACCCAGGAGGCAGACGTTGAAGTGAGCCAAGATTGTGCTACTGTACTTCAGCCTGGGTGATAGAGCAAGACTCAGTCTAAAAAAAAAAAAAAAGGCCGGGTGCGGTGGCTCATGTCTGTAATCCCAGAACTTCGGGAGGCTGAGGCGGGTGGATCACAAGGTCAAGGATTGTGACCAGCCTGGCCAACATGGTGAAACCCCGCCTCTACTAAAAATACAAAAATTAACTGAGCATGGAGGGGAGTGCCTGTAGTCCCAGCTACTCAGGAGGCTGAAGCAGGAGAATCCCTTGAGCGTGGGAGGAAGGGATTGTAGTGAGCCGAAAGTTGTAGTGAGCTGAAGGTTGTAGTGACCTAAGATCCCGCCACTGCACTCCAGCCTGGGAGACAGAGCAAGACTCTGTCTCAAAAAATAAATAAATAAAAAATAAAAATCACAGCATTTATAATAAGGTAGTCTTTAGACCATTACCTTCCACTTTACTTCAAGTGGATTTGGTCTCCAAACTGAACAATGCCTCATATTTTTCTATGTTTGCCACTATATTATGGCTCCTAGTATGTTACTGTGAAGAACACAAACTCCTGAAAAAAAAAAATTCTAGGTAGAGTTGAATAAAGTATTATAAGTGTTCACCTTTTCAATTCCCTGATATAAATTAAAATGATTTCATTTACTCTTCCATCTTACCTCTCTGATAAGTTTGTCCAACTGACCAATAACATGAGGTGGTGTTGTCTGGGGAAAAATAAAATAAAATATGAGTAACGGGAGAAGGAAAAAAAGTTTGTCAACAATGGTCCTGAATCCCCTCCCCAAAAGGATTTTAAGCCAGCCTTTGCTTTGACACATGCCCTATCATGATTTAGAGAAGAGAAGTTTCAACTGGCCCCACTAGTGGAGCAATATCATCAACTGGCTCATATCTGTCTTTTTATCTTGAAGATAAAATAAGAAGACAAATAACACTTAACCAACCAACCAACCAACCAACAAAAAGTCATTGGGAAATGGTTAGAAAGGTAAGATTGTGCATAGGGCATAGCACTATACAACTATTATCTCATTGTTTGTATTATTTCTGGAGATGGAGATACTGCCCGTAAGTTCTGGAAAAGGCATGAGGGTAAGATAGAAGGAACCACATTTCTATTCAGGGTGTTCCTATCGTTTCAGTAAGTAGCAATGTGTCATTTACAATTTTAAGTTTGAAATTTTTAAAGTCTCACTGATTCAATGGCAGGAAATAAAAAAATAGTCATAACCAAATTACACAACAGCCAAAGCACATTTACTGACAGAAAATAAATACCTAAAAAAAATTTCAGGCCAGGTGCAGTGGCTCACACCTGTAATCCCAAGCACATTGGGAGGTTCAAGGCAGGTGGCTCACCTGAGGTCAGGAGTTTGAGACCAGCCTGGCCAACATAGTGGAACACCAGTTCTACTAAAAACAAAAATTAGCCGGGTGTGGTGACATGTGCCTGTAGTCCCAGCTACTCAGGAGACTGAGGTAGGAGAATTGCTTGAACCCAGAAGGCAGAGGTTGCAGTGACCCGAGATCATGACACTACACTCCAGCCTGGACAACAGAGACAGACTCCATCTCAAAAAAAAAAAAAAAAAAAGAAAAAAGAAAAAGAAAAAAAATTTAAGTAACACTTTTTCACTTGAAACATAATAATAATTTTAAATGTATGATTTTGCCACATTATAAATATAGGAGGATTTGTGCCTATTTTACGGGTTAATGGACTTTGATCTGGTTCTTACTATATGAATTTCAGAGATTAGTGTTTTGACTTCATTTTAGCAAGGGCTTCCAGTAACTAAACATTTCACAATCTGCACTGTTAAAGGGAGGGCATTAAAAAACTTTGTTTTGTTTTGTTTCTTTGAAATGGAGTATTGCTCTGTCACCCAGGCTGGAGTGCAGTGGCACGATCTTGGCTCACTGCAACCTCCGCCTCCTGGGTTCAAGCAATTCTCCTGTCTCAGCCTCCAGAAGAGCTGAGATTATAGGTGTGTGCCACCATGCCCAGCTAATTTTTGCATTTTTTAAATTTTTAGTAGAGATGTGGTTTCACCATGTTGGCTAGGCTGGTCTCAAACTCCTGACCTTATGATTGGACTGCCTTGGCCTCCCAAAGTGCTGGGATTACAGGTGTGAGCCACGATGCTCAGCCAAAAACTTCTTGTAATTAAAAAATACGGCCACATACAATGGCTCACACCCATAATCCCAACATTTTGGGAGGCCAGGGCAAGAGCATCATTTGAACTCAGGAGTTTGAGACCAGCTTGGGCAACATAGTGAGAGCCCATGTCTACAAACATTTTAAAAAATTAGCTGGGTGTGGTGGTGTGTGCCTGTAGTCCTAGCTACTCTGGTGACTGAGGTGGGCGGGTTCTTTGAGCCTGGGAGGTCAAGGCTGCAGTGAGCTGAGATCCCACCACTGCATTCCAGTCTAGGTGACAGAGCAAGACCCTGCCTCTAAAAGAAAAAAATAATAAATTAAAATTTAAAAACAAAAATAAAAATTTCATAATCTGGTAGAAGAACGCATACAACTTTTTAATCTGGTAGAAGGACATGGCTAATATTAAGCACGTGCATTGGAAGAAGAACCTTACCTGGAGTAAGACTTTTCCACTGTACACACTCATGGGATACATAGTGCCAAACGTCATCAAGGCAATGGCTATTGCAGAGGCAGTGTCTACAGCAAAATAATTACTAAAAGGAAGAAATAATTCTAAATCTTAAATTTATATCTCACTGGGCATATTACAGTTAAATCTCCTGAACATTAACCATCTAAAGCAACAGGATGAAGCAACAGGACAAAATTTTATCACAATTGGCCACTACTCACAAAGACACATTTCAAAGAAAAAACTTCAGTTTTTAGAATTCTTTCCTGTCAAAGTGTAGTAGAAAAATAACTAATAATTATGTTCATTAGTAGGAAGAGGTATGATGAAAAAAAAAGTGGGCATTTCCCCATCATGCATTTTTTCTGTCAAACTACTTGACAGCTAGAAAGATCTGAAATATATTCATTTGCTTGAGACAAACAAAAAACTTCAACTCATAATTTTTTTTGAAAAGAGACAATAAAAGGTTTTTTTATTCAAAGGTATAACTGGATAAGTAGATTTGTTTATAACCATTCTTGCAAAAAACTTTAAAAAATATATAACCAACTTCTTTGCATACAGCAGACACATACCTCAACTACGATGACCTAATTTTTGGTGGATAATGTATATGATTAAGCAGAAATAAGCAAACTCACACTGGTAGATTATCAAATACTCAGTCAAAACTCCATTTGTGGCCCCCACTTCTTGGTTGATTTCTATTTCCACTTCATCTACCATCTTGTCAACTTCCTGAGCAACTCCCTTGTCGACTCTTGACTCTTGTTTTCCTGACTGGCCACCAGATCAACTCCCTGACTGGCATGACTGGTACGACTGGCCACTTCTCTGCCTGGAATTAGAAGATGTGTTTCCATCATAATATTCTTCAATTTCAGGTAACTTGGCTGGCACTGAGTATATCCAGTCGGAAGCATGCCATTCTGCCTGTAGCCTTTCTTCTGACTCACTTGTAGGAACATCAAAGCAAACACCCGTATTTCCTTTCAGGAGGCAGATTCTGATAATCTGAGATACTGCACTACTCAGCTTTCTGTTAAGTTCTTTCCAAGCACATCTGACATCCTATACTTCCTCTAAGCTTTCCAGAGTTACGGTCACAAACCCCCTATCAGACGTGATCAAAGATCATGGTGCAAAGCTTGATGCACCAGAAATGTGGGCTAAAGTTGCAGCCAATGCATCCACTGCCCCTTTCTCTTCTATCAGTCTCTGAGCTGATGGTTGGAAAAAAATCAACAGCAACATAAGAAATGGAAGCCAGAGACCTGATGGTATCTGTGCTTTTAGATTTAACTAAATCCACTGCAGAAGGAACACCTACACGTTTAAAAGTAATTCCTGCTTTTTGTTCCACATATCTTAGTTGACCTCTTTCTCTTGGTTGATCTCTTTTTCTTGGTTGATAAAACATACACAAATCCCTGCCTGTCCAGCTCTTCCTGTGCATCCAGAACGATGGATATAGGACTCAACATCCTAAGGAGGAGAACTTTGGATCATCAGGTCAACTTCAGGAATGTGCAAACCACAGGCAGCCACATTGGTTGCCACCGAAACTTTAAAACTACCTTCTCTGAAGCCTTTTTGTGTAATTTCTCTTTATGACTATGCAATGTCCCCATGTAAACACTGGGTATTTTGTTTTATGTGTTGATTCAGTTACATTCTTCTTGGTCTCCCAGAAAGTAACAGCTCACCCTTCAGACCCACTGCAGACTTGAAAGACATCTCCAATAACTGCTGGCCTCTGAGACCAATGACACAGGATGGCCAAGGGTTCCACAGTAGTTGCAGCCTTTTGAGTCATTTTTCCAACAAGGTAAACCCGATAATATCTGGATTTCATGTATTTTTTTGCAACTTTGTATACCCACTGTGGGCAAGTTGCAGTAAAAAGTAAACTCTGAGGACTGTCTTCAGAATTAGTTTTGTAGGATTTGTGAATAATATCTTCAAGTTGTTCAGCAAAATCTAAATCTAACATTTGATCCACTTCATCATGCACAACATAGGGGAGTTTAGAAAGATCCAATTGGGCTGGGCGTGGTGGCTCACACCTGTAATCCAACCACTTTGGAGGCCAAGGCAGGTGGATCACCTGAGGTCAGGAGTTCAAGACCAGCCTGACCAACATGGTGAAACCCCATCTTTATATATAAAAAAAGAAAGATCCAATTGGCCACTCTGCAGATGGTCTTTGACATGACCAGTGTTCCAACAAAGATGTCAATACCATTTCGAATATGATTAATTTGGCTTTGAAATAATGTTCCATCATAAAAACATGCCACGCTGAGTTTCCTAGTAATATCTTTGAAGTCCTTTGCTACCTGGTTTGCCAGTTCCCTTGCTGAAACCAAAATAAGTACCTTTGGTGAGCGGCTTTTTAAAATTGTTTCTTGATTTCTCTGGAGTCTTTCAATCAAGGGGATGGCAAAAGAGAATGTCCTTCCCGTTCCTGTCCGTGCTTGAGCTATTAAATCTTTTCCTTCATATACAGGACCAAAGGTCTTAACTTGAATAGGAAAGAGATATGTTACCCTTTGAACTTTCAGCTTTATAGTCTCTTCAGAAATAGGAAAATTGGAGAAGGCTCCTTCTTTCTGTTTATGTGTTAAGGCCTTCTCTAGTTTATTATCACTTGATTTATGTGTACAACTATCTAGGTATGACACTTGTTGAATTTTTTTTCCATATTCATCAATATCTCCATTTGGTAGATCTTTTCTTCTTGACTTATAAGATTTACAGAATTCATCTGAAAGTCTATTAAATCCTTCTTCAGTGTCTCCATTTAGCTTCTCTTTCATTTTAGCTTTTTTGGCCTTGGGAGCATCCAGGTCATCTGTAACACCATTTTCTCTTGTTTCTGATTTCTCATCTGAGTCATAATAGTGCCTTGACTTCCTTTTGTCACTCCAGCATTGTAAAATGTGTTTTCAGCGTATCTTGTTTAAATCTTCCTAACAACCCTTTAAGGGAAGCACGGGTCCATAATCCCTTATCTGAAATTGTGATATCCATAAAGCTCTTCTGCCTCTTCTTCTGGCTCTCGGACTCCTCCAAGGGTGCTTCTAGCTGCATATGTTCCCCCAGAGGAGTTTCCCAGCAGTTACTGGCTACCACCGCCTCCCTCTGGGCGCAGTGGCCACAACCACCTATGGGCAGCAACAGCAAGAAAGGAAGTGGGGACAGGGCGACTGCCCAGCCTTGACCGTGTGTCACTTGACTAGTAATTTTTGATACAGAAAGACTAATGGAATCTATCAGTAATTTTATCCATTTTCCAATGAGTGATAATTATTTCCAATAAAACTTCAAATTCCCCAGGAATTTCCCCAGGTAAGATTCTCCAGGAATTTTTTATGGTAACATTATAGCTGACATCAACAGTTCAAACTGGCTGAAGTTCTACCAACAATACAGTTCAAAATGCCAATAATTACAAGTTGACTGTGCATTCTTTTCTACTTTTCCCCACATGCTGGGAATAGAAATGTGAATGAGACACAATCCTTGCCCTAGAAATAACAGGAGATACATATGTGAAAAACATGAAGCACTTTAGGCACTAAGGCAGAAATGTCTACAGAGTACCATGGCTGTACAAAAGATTGAGTGACAAGGCTACTGGGGTGGGGATAATCCAGAAAGGCTAACTATAAAAAGAAAAGGTGAGGTTTGGGCAGAACCTTCAAAGATGAGCAAGTGAAAGAAGCATGTACAGGGGCATGAAACCCTGACCCAGCAATAAAACCACAAAAATGGTCAGGAGTACATAGAGGGATGATCAGTAAGGTTGGTAGGGGCCTGATTACACAGGACTCTGTACTCAACTTCAATTTTTGCAACTATGCAAAGGGGAGGGTTTTGAAACAGGAAGATATTATGTCCAAACTAGCAAATTTGAATAATCACATTAATGGCAAAATAAAAGATAACTAGCAATGGACGAGAATGAAAACTAGAAGGCCAGAGGCTACTCTAATTAGACCAAAGAAATGATGATAAAGGTCTTAATAGGGACAGCAGTAATAAGAATGGGAAAGAGGAGACAGCCTGTCACCCAGGCTGGAGTGCAGTGGCGCAATGCCAGCTCACTGCAACCTCTGCCTCCTGGGTTCAAGCAATTCTCCTGTTTCAGCCTCCCAGGTAGCTGGGATGACAGGTGTGTGTTACCACATCCAGCAAATTTTTGTATTTTTAGCAGAAATTTTTGTATTTTAAGTAGAGATGGAGTATTGCCATGTTGGCCAGGCTGGTCTTGAACTCCTGACCTCAGGTGATCTCCCCACCTCAGCCTCCCAAAGTGCTGGGATTACTGGCATGAGCCACTGCACCCAGCCAAATAAATAAATATTAATAAACAATTATACAAGGCTTGGAGATGAATTAGAAATGGCTTGGGGAGTGGTGAGAGGAGAGGAAGGAGAAAAAGTAGATATTTAAGGATGCATTGCAGTTCTTAAAAAAATTAAAATATTGGGGGAATGTGAGGGGATGGTTAACAGATATAAAAATATAGTTAGAATGAATAAAATCTAGTATTTGATAGCAAAATAAGGTTAGTACACTCAACAATAACTTATTGTACATTTTAAAATAAACAAGAGCATAATTAGATTGTAACACAAAGAAAAAATAAATCCTTCAGGTGATGGATGCCCCATTTACCCTGATGTAATTAATACATACTGTATGCCTGAATCAAAATATCTCACGTACTCCATAAATATATATACCTGTCGGGCACGGTGACTCATGCCTGTAATCCCAGCACTTTGGGAGGCCGAGGTGGGCAGATCGCCTGAGGTCAGGAGTTTGAGACCAGCCTGGCCAACATGGAGAAACCCCATCTCTATTAACAACAACAACAACAACAAAAATATATATATTGTGTATATATATATGTATATATATATATAAACATATATATACACACAATATATATATGTGTATATATATGCTTATATATATGTGTATATATATATGTTTATATATATGTGTATATATATATGTTTATATATATGTGTGTGTGTATATATATATATATATATATATATACCTACTATGTACCCACAAAAGTAAAAAATTAAATAAATTAGATAAATACAGAATTATATGACTCAATAATTTCACTTATGGGTATATACCTCCAAGAATTGAAAGGAAGGACTCAGATATTTGTACACTCATGTTCATAGTGGCATTATTCACAATAGCCAAAAAATGGAACCAATTCAAATATCCACTGATGGATAAATGGGTAAACAAAATGCGGTATATACATGGAATGGAATGTGATTCAGCCTTAAAAGAGAAGGAAATTCTGCACATACTACAATATGGAATAACCTTGAGGACATTATGCTAAGTGAAATAAACAGGCACAAAGGAACAAATATTATATGATTTCATTCCTATGAAATACTTATAGAATTCAAATTCATAGAGACAGAAAGTAGAATGATGACTTCTAGGGGCTGTGAGGAGGAAGAAAAGGAAAGCTGTTTAATGAGTTTCAGGAAGGAATGAGGAAAAAGGTTCTGGAGATGGATGGTGTAATGGTTGCATATAATGTCACTAAATTGTACACTCAATGTAAATGAAAAAACTCTATGTTGGGATTACAGGCGTGAGCCACTGAGGCGGGCATATCACTTGAGAGCAGGAGCTCGAGAACAGCTCGGCCAATATTGCAAAACCCTATCTCTACCAAAAATACAAAAATTAGCCAGGCATGGTGGTGGGCACCTGTAATCCCAGCTACTCAGGGAGCCGAAGCAGGAGAATCACTTGAACCCAGGAGGTATAGGTTGCAGTGAGCTGAGATTGCACCACTGCACTCTAGCCTGGGCAACAAGAGAGAAACTCTGTCTCAAAAAAAAAAACAACCCCAACTCTATGTTACGTATATTTTAATGCGATTTAAAATAAGAATGCATTGGCCTAAATGACAGTATTTTTCTTGTATCTCCCATTCACTGAGATGGGAAATATAAGAAAAAACAGTTTCAGTGTTAAGGGAAAATAGGTTCAGATTAAGTAGACACAAAGAGAAGTTAGGAAGATATGCCTTTTGGAATTCAACAGAAATGTGGGCTAGAAATAAAAATTAGGGAATCCCACAGAAGTAGCAAACAAAAACAAATACGTGCATGTGATTTTTAAGGAAAACACACAAAACAGCAAGAAGAATATGGACAAATTCTAGTAAAGACTAATATTTAAACGGTGGGTAGCCAAAGAATCATATGCCATAACATGTTAAGCTTAAAGCAGCTGTAAAGCCTATTTCCTAAAAGGCTTTAGTTTTTAAAAATGGTTTCACACCTACGTCCTCTTCTCCTCCCTCTCTCAGCAATAGTGGCTGTGGTTCAGATTTCTTTCTTATTGTTCTCATTTCTGTTTTACTCATCAGGTCAGCAGTAGGGAATTTAAATTGTTTTCCAGTCTGCATTATAGATTGTGGTAAGAAATACTTATTGAACCCAATCCCCTTGATTTTTCACATGAAGACACCTGAGGAAAAGACATGATCTAAGTTACACAGGTCATCAGCAAAACTGCTAGAAGCCTGACCACTAGCCATACTGCTGATGCCCTTAAAAATGAGGCCCCAGAAATCAAAACATACTTGGCAATAATAAAAAATACTCACTTAATTTCAATGAGCATGTAAGTAATACAAAGAGCAAATGCTCCAGCAAGATCAATCAAAACAAATGGATTCATTCGGGGAAGGAAGATACTGCTAAGTCCTGGAATAATTCCACACAAGCTAAAAAAAAAAAAAAAAAAAAAAAAAGAGTATCCATTAGCAGAACGCACAAGCTAAAAAAAAAAATTCCACACAAGCTAAAAAAAAAAAAAAAAAAAAAAAAAAGAGTATCCATTAGCAGAACGCACAAAACTTGGTGACAACCTTGTAAAAGATAACTTGTATTTTGGTACTACATAGTGTACTTCCTTTTTTTTTTTTTTTTTTTTTTTTTACATCACAAACTCATTGCTTAGTATTGCAGAACATAGCATACTTCTTCTTTTTTTTTTGAGACGGAGTTTCGCTCTTGTTACCCAGGCTGGAGTGCAATGGCGCGATCTCAGCTCACCGCAACCTCCGCCTCCTGGGTTCAGGCAATTCTCCTGCCTCAGCCTCCTGAGTAGCTGGGATTACAGGCACGCGCCACCACGCCCAGCTAATTTTTTGTATTTTGAGTAGAGATGGGGTTTCACCATGTTGACCAGGATGGTCTCGATCTCTTGACCTCGTGATCCACCTGCCTCGGCCTCCCAAAGTGCTGGGATTACAGGCTTGAGCCACCGTGCCCGGCCTCATAGCATACTTCTTAAAGAAAGCAAAGAGGATTTGCAAACAAAGCTCTTTCACTTACAAAGTTCTTTTTTGTATCATCAATTAAAAAGTAAAGGGAGAATAACAATCTGATCTTTATGATTCACGTAGTAACCTCAGCAATGAATAACTTAAGTTCCCGTGATAGACACATTTCTTGTATATTCCTTTAAATTATGCATATCATGAAACTCCATAACATCTTACCTTCGACTAAGATCTGCAACGTGCTCTTGAAGCCAGCTCGTACTAGCAGCTTTAATAAGAAAATACTTAAATTACCTATCTAGAAGAAAAAAACCACTACTCAAAATATGTGAGTTATTTAATTTAAAAAAACAAATTTGGCAGTGACTGAATAATATTGCAAAAGAACACGCTGCTCCTCAAATCTAGACATTTTTCCTTTTATACCCTCATGCAGCTAAGTCAAAAGCAGTTTCAACTGTTATACAATATACAGTTGACTTGAAGGAATTAGTGAACTTAGATATGTCATTGCTATTATTGATTTGAAGTTTTAAAGGTTCTTTATACTTTTTGTTGAGATGGAGTTTCACTCTTTTCACCCAGGCTGGAGTGCAATGGCATGATCTCGGCTCACTGCAACATCCGCCTCCCAGGTTCAAGTGATTCTCCTGCCTCAGCCTCCTGTGTAGCTGGGATTACAGGAGAGTGCCGCCACACCTGGCTAATTTTGTACTTTTAGTAGAGATAGGGTTTCACCATATTGGTCACGCTATTCTTGAACTCCTGACCTCAGGTGATCTGCCTGCCTCGACTTCCCAAAGTGCTGGGATTACAGGTGTGAGCCACTGCGCTCGGCAGTTCTTTATACTTTTAAGCAAGAGCTTCCGAACCTGTGTACTGGGAGTGGGCTATAGGTATAGGCTGAGTATCTCAAATCTGAAAATAAAAAATCCAAAACTTTAAGCCCCAAGATGATACTCAAAGGAAATGCTCGTGAGAGTATTTTGACTTTTGAATTTTCAGGTTTGGGATGCTCAACCCATACATATAATTCAAACACTCCAAAATCTAAAAAAATCTAAAATGTGAAACATTCCTGGCCCCAAGCATTTCGGATAAGAGATGCTCAAACTACATATGAATGATTAATTCCCTCAGCTCTCAAAAAAGCCAGGTGAGGACCTGGGTATCTACAAAGACACTCCCAGTTACTCTTCTTGGAAATTCTTGGATAAGTAGCCAGTGTCTAGGCTCAAGAATCCTGTTCCATTCAAATCAGAGTCCTACAGAAATATCAATTTTTAAAATGTGCACCATGATGTAAAAAACATTGGCAAGACTTATGCAAATGAAAAATAGTTGAGCAGTTAAGTAAGATGTCTGAATATCTAGCTTTAAATCGTAGCTCTGCCAGTAACTAGATGTGCAGCACTGGGTGAGTGAAGTGATTTAATCTCTCAATGCCTTAGTGTAAAATGGACATAATAAAAGTATTTACTTCATATGGCTAGAATTAAATTGGTTATTCTATGTAAAGTATTTAGCAGTGCTTGGAATAAAGAAAGTGCTTAATATTACTTTCCACTCAATTTTCAAGTAATTTCACAAATCTTTTTCCTTTTCTTTTTTTTTTTTGAGATGGAGTTTCGCTTTTGTTGCCCAGGCAGAAGTGCAATGACACGATTTCAGCTTACTGCAACCTCTGCCTCCTCGGTTCAAGGGATTCTCCTGCCTCAGCCTCCCGAGCAGCTGGGATCATAGGCACCTGCCACCATGCCCGGCTAATTTTTGTAACTTTTTAGTAGAGATGGGGGTTTCGCCATTTTGGCCAGGCTGGTCTTGAACTGCTGACCATGAGATCTGCCTGTCTTGGTCTCCCAAACTGCTGGGATTACAGGTGTGAGCCACCACACCCAGCCTTTTTTCTTTTCTTTTCTTTTTTTTTTTTTTTTTTTAAAAGCCAGAGTCTTGCTATGTTCTCCAGGCTGGGCTTCTGAGCTCAAGCAATACTCCCACCTCAGCCTCCCGAGTAGCTGGGACTATAGTCACGTGCTACTATGCCCAGCTAATGTCACAAATCTTGATGTTTCTGGGAACCTTCATTTCCAGCTAATGAAAAGATAAACTAGGGCCGGGCGCGGTGGCTCAAGCCTGTAATCCCAGCACTTTGGGAGGCCGAGGCGGGTGGATCACAAGGTCAAGAGATCGAGACCATCCCGGTCAACATAGTGAAACCCCGTCTCTACTAAAAATACAAAAAATTAGCTGGGCATGGTGACACGTGCCTGTAATCCCAGCTACTCAGGAGGCTGAGGCAGGAGAATTGCCTGAACCCAGGAGGCGGAGGTTGCGGTGAGCCGAGATCGCGCCATTGCACTCCAGCCTGGGTAACAAGAGCGAAAACTCCGTCTCAAAAAAAAAAAAAAAGAAAAGATAAACTAGGCTCAGAGCAGTGGCTCACGCCTGCAGTCCCAGCACTGTGGGAGGCTGATGTGAGAGGATTGTTTGAGTCCAGGAGTTTGAGACTAGCCTGGGTAAACAAAGGGAGATTTTTTTCTCTCTAAAAAATAAAAAATGATAAAAATATAAACTATATAACTTTTCTGGAAATAAATATGGCAATATACATCAAAGCTTTTAAAAAATACTCTATTTTTCTGAGCTGAAGTAGAGTTACAAAGAGAAAAAAAAAAAGAAAGAAAATAAAAATAAAAAATACTCTATTTTAAATCCAGTAAGTAATTCCTTCTCTGGGAATTTATCCTACAGAAAGAATAAAAAACACAAAGTTAGTTGATCTAAAGAGGCCGATTATAGAATTATTCATAAAAGGAAAAGTTGGGGCCGGGCGTGGTGGCTCACGCCTGTAATCCCACCACTTTGGGAGGCTGAGGTGGGAGGATCATGAGGTCAGAAGATAGAGACCATCCTAGCTAATACCATGAAACCCTGTCTCTACTAAAAATAGAAAAAATTAGCCGGGCATGGTGGCATGCGCCTGTAGTCCAGCTACTCGGCAGGCTGAGGCAGGAGAATCGCTTGAACCCAGGAGGCAGAGGTTGAAGTGAGCCAGGATTGTGCCACTGCATTCCAGCCTGGGTGACAGAGTGAGACTCCATCTCAAAAAAAAAAAAAAAAAAAAAAGGAAAAGTTGGAAATGTGTAAAAGAATATTTTAAAATATTCATGACAGAATAGTATGTAAGCATTCAAAAATCATTTGCATTCAGAGTATTTAATGAGAAGCAATACTCAAGACATTATGCTAATGAAAAAGCCACATATGGCCGGACACAGAGGCTCACACCTGTAATCCCAGCACTTTGGGAGGCCGAGGTGGGCAGATCATCTGAAGTCAGTAGTTTGAGACCAGCCTGGTCAACATGGGGAAAACATCTCTACTAAAAATACAAAAATTTGCTGGGTGTGGTGTCCCATGCCTGCAACCCCTTGAACCAAGGAGTCAGAGGTTGCAGTGAGCCAAAATCATGCTGCTGCACTCCAGCCTGGGCAGCAGAGTGAGATTCCATCCCACTCCCCATCCCCGCAAAAAAGCCAGACATAAATTGTAATACATACAATTCTAAGTACATAAAAGGATATGAACATGTACATATAAACAAGTGAAAGGAATTAATGTGGAAATGTTAACATATTAGCTGTGGGTCATAAGATTATCAACAGTCTTATTTCCTTCTTGTATCTTCCTGATCCTTACAGAGAAACTGTTTCTAAATGTTTGTGCCATCTTAAAAATTTCTAGAGTAAGTGTTATAGTATTTTTATAAATTATGAAAAGTTTTTTCAAGAAATTCTGGTGATCATAAGTATCATTATTTAATTTTCTAATTCAAGCAGTAATTCTTTAACTCATAGAAATATCTTCGTAACATTCATGAAGTTCTTTACACTTGAATGGGCATTTAAGAAAACTTTCTTCTCTTGACTGTCCTAGTGTGCGATCTAAAAAGACCCTCACCTATCTATGCTTCTCTATACTTCAAAGTGTGGGTCTGTGCACATATCCCACTTCTGTTTTTCCCTGACTTCACCATCTATTAGTGGCTAACTCTTTTGTGGGTTAGTGGGATTCCAAAACACTGAAATTACAGAAAAATGACAATAATGTAGACTGCTAATGTGAAAAACCAATCTGAAGTGGTAAACACTTCAAAAACAATATTTCAAAAAAAATTAAGTTTTGCAACTTGCAAATATATATGCCCATCCACCATTGCCAAAGAGAAGTTCCCAGGAACTTATTTTATTAACAGAGTACAATTATTTTCAATTAGCATATCAACTATTCTAAGTATACTGATACTTCTAAAATGCTTACAATAGACTTTTCTTTTTTTTTTTTTTCTTGAGACGGAATTTCGCTCTTGTTACCCAGGCTGGAGTGCAATGGCGCGATCTTGGCTCACCGCAACCTCCACCGCCTGGGTTCAGGCAATTCTCCTGCCTCAGCCTCCTGAGTAGCTGGGATTACGGGCACGCGCCACCATGCCCAGCTAATTTTTTGTTTTTTTTAGTAGAGACAAGGTTTCACCATGTTGACCAGGATGGTCTCGATCTCTTGACCTCGTGATCCACCCGCCTCGGCCCCCAAAGCGCTGGGATTACAGGCGTGAGCCACCGCGCCTGGCCCTACAATAGACTTTTCTTAGATTATGCATTTAAAATCTCACATTATTTGGCAAATGTAATTTTTCATCACACATGGTTTAATTTATAGGTCATTCCTGCCTGTCTTAAAATAATTTGTTATTCTAAAGCTTGAACTAATGAGATTTTGTTTTATAATTTTCCACTTAAAACTTGAGAACATTCAGACTAGTTCTCTCTTCTCTTTGGAATATACTTCCTCATTAATTTGAGTTAATGAAACAAAAGATTGTTTTTATGAGAGAATAATGGATTTTTAAATTAATAGTAAATAAATAACATACCTTCTGAGACATAAGCAAAAGGTTTATTCCGAATAGAAAGCATCGTGAACAGGTTGAAAGAAAGGGCCACAAAAGTACCAACTAGTAATCTTCCCCTAAAAAGAGCAACGATAACATTCACCTTTAATTTGTTCTTGGTATTATCACTATGTAATTTCAACATGTAGAGGGACTAAGAGATGGGAAGGTAAAGTGGTTTGCAGATACAGAATCTGAACTTGGTTTCTAGCCCCATCATCCATGTCCCATCTGGTGTTGCTCCATCTTACAAAGGATAAGAAAGAACTTTTGGCATTAATAATATCTGCCTATAGGTAAACGCTGTTATAAATTTGTATAAATGTTAAGGGTATTTGGTTTACAGTATATTGGACAAGTCAGACTTTTTGGAATTAAACTAATAAGAATAGATAAGATCCATATAGTTGGCAACTATGTGGCTGAGAAATACAATTGTTTTTTCATGTATATGATACATACAATTCTCTTTTCATATATATATATGAAAACCACATAGTTGCAATATATATGAAACATATGTAAGTTTCTTTTTTTTTTTTTTGGTCTCTGTTACCCAGGTTGGTCTTGAACTCCTGGGCTCAAGCTATCCTCCTGCCTTAGCCTCTTAAAGCACTGGGATTACAGGTGTGAGCCCCTGAGCCTGGTCCAATTCTCTTTTCTATAGGCACTACGAAAAGATTTTGAAGGTCAAATTTGAAATTACAGGAGAATAGGAGAGCTGGCTTAGTGTGTTTCCTAGGTCTGGAAATAATAAGCCTGAAGCCAAGATAGAAAGGCCTTCCTGTATTGTATATAAGTATTTAGGACTTGGGAACTGTTAAGGATAAAAAAATGGAATCTTGGGCTTTGGGAATTTTGTTTGTGGAATATCAGCAAAAACATATGTTGCTACAGTCTGAACTCTGACACTGGCCAACTGTTTAATAATGCATCAATTAATTACTAAGAATCAATAGTAAATTATGTATCAAAAATAAAATCTCACGTGTGTATCTCAGGCTGCTCCAAAAAGCGTTCTGCACTAAAAGAAAGAAAAAGGTATTAAAAAAGTCCTACAAATTATAAAGTTAAAAAGCTTTATCAAATACATCATTAATCCACCTTAAAGTTCACAAAATCTTTTAATATTATAACCAACTATTGACTATTAGCAGTGATAAGGCAAGGAGACTCGCAAAGAATTATCCTTTTTAATTTTTTTTTTCACGAATTATCCTTAATATGTCACTTGAATCTTATTTATTTACTAAAAGACAGGGTTTATCCATGTTGATCTGGTTGGTCTCGAACTCCTGATCTCAGGTGATCCACCCGCCTCGGCCTCCCAAAGTGCTGGAATTACAGGCATGAGCCACTGAGCCTGGCCATAATGTCAATCTTTCTCTGCCAAGTCTATTTCAATGAGTTTGTAATAAGCAGCAAACATGCCTGACTGAATCTGTTTCATTCACAACCACTTCTGATTCAATTTAGTAGCATTAAGGAAGGAAGTAAAAAAAGTGAAATAGGGGAAAAAGTCTAAAACATAATGAAACTATACTACCAAAACTCCAGCCCTGCTCATCTAAATTTGCATACCCTCAAAACCAAACATGTCTGACAGGTTTGTTTCATGCTCCAAAGGTGTCATAGGTGAGATTTAGAATAGTATCATACAAATGTACCTTTCTTTTAATATAAAGAGAGCTCCCAACTGTGCCAAGACTGTGGAGGCAAATACAGCCAGGACTTCTAATCTTTCAAATCTGAAACCAAAACATTAATTAGATCATCACAATTCTTTCAATTCACAAACCAGTCTCTAGAACACATTTACATTCATCTATTCGCTCTCTTAATATACACATGTGCTGTCTACTATGAGCCAAACACTGTTAGAGCACATTATAGAAGAATAGTAAACAATGAAAATCACAAATTCCAAAGAGTACCTATTTGTACAATTCCCAGGACCCAGAAGAGAGAGCATCTTCAGCTCCTGCTAGAGGCTTTCTCTTTCTCTTCTCAGAAAAACTTTAAAATGATTAAAAAAAAAAAAAAAAAAAAAAAAAGACAATCCCCAAGACCCACTTATAGTTCTTATTTTTCTAGAAATAATAATTATAACAACTTTTAATTGACTCACTGTGCATTAGACACCAAAGTACTTAACATATTACCTCATCTAAACCTCTGAACCTCTTATTAGAATTACTTTATCTGCTTTTTTCTATTTTTTCAAAGAGATGGGGTTCTCACTATGTTGCTTAGGCTGGACCCTGAACTCCCTGGCTCAAGTAATCCTTCCAGCTCAGCCTCCTGAGTAGCTGGGACTATAGGCATGCCCCACCACACTTGGCTCACTTTTTTTTTTTCCCCAGAGAAGAAATTTAGGACATAAAGAGGAAGGTAACTATTTAGAGTCACATAGCTAGCAAGTGGAAGAGCAAGGTTTTCAAACTCAAACACTCTCACTCTGGAGTTCATATTTTAACCACTCATTATACTGCCTCTCATTTCTACACATAATTACAGCAAATTATGAGTATGTTTTATAATCCCTATCCCTAGACTATAAGCCAGAGGCCAGGAACTGTTGTCTTAGTTTTTCTTGCAACACATGGTCTAATGGCATGCAATATTTATGATAAGTATAAATGCTTAAAAATTTTCAAGAAAATAATCATGGAGGCACAGAAAAGATAAAAAATTAATTAAGGCTGTACATCACATTGTTATTTGTGAAGGAAAAATGCTGGCATCAACAACAGAGCATTATATATTATTAAACAAAGAAATGTATTCACATGGAAAAAGGTAAGTGAAAAAAGCAGGTTATAAAGGAATATTAATTGTTTTTTCCAGCTACTAAAGAAAATGAAAAAGAACAGGAAAAAACAGTAATGCAAATGCATTGATGTTATTTGTGGGAGTTAATAAGCTGATATTAAAATGCATATGGGGCCGGGCGCGGTGGCTCAAGCCTGTAATCCCAGCACTTTGGGAGGCCGAGGCGGGTGGATCATGAGGTCAAGAGATCGAGACCATCCTGGTCAACATGGTGAAACCCCGTCTCTACTAAAAATACAAAAAATTAGCTGGGCATGGTGGTGTGTGCCTGTAATCCCAGCTGCTCAGGAGGCTGAGGCAGGAGAATTGCCTGAACCCAGGAGGTGGAGGTTGCGGTGAGCCGAGATCGTGCCATTGCACTCCAGCCTGGGTAACAAGAGCAAAACTCTGTCTCAAAAAAAAAAAATAATAAAATAAAATAAAAAATAAAATAAAATAAAATGCATATGGGCCATGGTGTGGTGGTTCACAACTGTAATCCCAGCACTTTGGGAGGCTGATGTGGCCATGGATCATGAGGTCAGGAGATCGAGGCCATCCCTAACATGGTGAAACTCCATCCCTACTAAAAATACAAAAAATTAGCTGGGCATGGTGGCATGTGCCTGTAGTCTCAGCTACTTGGGAGGATGAGGCAGGATAATCACTTGAACTTGGGAGGCAGAGGTTGCAGTGAGCTGAGATCATGCCACTGCACTCCAGCCCAGGTGACAGAGTGAGACTCCGTCCCAATAAATAAATAAATAAATAAATAAAGTAAAATAAAATGCATATGGAACTGTAAAATGTGAAGGGAAGCAAAGATAATCTTGAAGAAGAACAAAGCTGGAAGTGTTATACTACCAGATATCAATAGGTATTTCAAAGTTGTAATAATTAGCATAGTATAGTACTAATGCAAGTATAGACAAATAAGCTAAACTATACAGGAAAGAGAATCTAGAAACAGACCTACACATATGTAGTCATCTGATTTGTGAGAAAGAAAAAAGTGGCACATAAAAGCTGTAAAGAAGGGCTGGGTGCAGTGGCTCACACATGCAATCCCAGCACTTTCTGAGGCTGAAGCGGGCAGATTACTCGAGGCTAGGAGTTCAAGACCAGACTGGCCAACATGGCGAAACCCTGCCTCTACTAAAAATATAAAAAATTAGCTGGTCGTGGTGGTGTGTGCCTCTAATCCCAGCTGCTTAGGAGGCTGAGGCATGAGAATTGCTTGAATTCAGGAGATGGAGGTTGCAGTAAGCCAAATTGCGCCACTGCACTCCACCCTGGGCAACAGAATGAGACTCTATAAGCACTAAAGAAGGGCAATTTTTCCCCCAATAAATGGTGTTATACCAATTGAACATCTATATGGAAACAAATGTGTTTACTCCTGCTTTACACCATAACAAAAAATCTATCCCAACTGGATTGTAGGATTAAATATGAAAGATCGAACAGTAAGACTTCTAGGTGATAATAGAGCAAAGTATCTCTATGACCTCGGGGTAGGATAAATTAAATAAACCACTAAAATTTAAAACTTTTTTTTTTTTTTTTTTTTGAGATGGAGTCTTGCTCTGTTGCCCAGGCAGGACTCTGCTCATTGCAACCTCCGCTTCCCAGGCTCAAGCAATTCTGCCTCAGCCTCCCAAATAGCTGGGATTACAAACGCCCACCACCATGCCTGGATAATTTTTGTATTTTTAGTAAAGATGGGGTTTCACCATGTTGACCAGGCTGGTTTCGAACTCCTGACCTCAAATGATCTGTCTACCTCAGCTTCCCAAAGCGCTGGGATTACATGCGTGAGCCACCGTGCCTGGCCATAAAACTTTCATTTATAGGAAGATACCATTTAAAGAAAGAAAGGCGCCGGGCGCGGTGGCTCAAGCCTGTAATCCCAGCACTTTGGGAGGCCCAGGCGGGTGGATCACGAGGTCGAGAGATCGAGACCATCCTGGTCAATATGATGAAACCCCGTCTCTACTAAAAATACAAAAAAATTAGCTGGGCATGGTGGCGCGTGCCTGTAATCCCAGCTACTCAGGAGGCTGAGGCAGGAGAATTGCCTGAACCCGGGAGGCAGAGGTTGCGGTGAGCCGAGATCGCGCCATTGCACTCCAGCCTGGGTAACAAGAGCGAAACTCCGTCTCAAAAAAAAAAAAAAAAAAAAGAAAGAAAGAAAGGCAACTAGGAGAAGAAGATACTTACATACAAAGAACTGTCACAGATTAATAAGGAAAAATAGTTAACAGATTTTAACAAGCATTTAAAAAAAAGTGATCTGAATGGTTAATCAACATATGCAAAGGTGGTGAATTAGTCATAAGGAAAATAACTTTAAACCTCAATGAAATACCACTGCATACTCTAGAATGGTCTTTATAAAAAAGACAGTAACAGCTGGGCACGGTGGCTCCTCACCTGTAATTCCAGCTACTTGGGGTGTGGAAGGATCCCTTGAAGCCAGTTCAAGACCAGCCTGGGCAATATGGTAAGACCCTTGACTCCAAAAATATTTTAAAAATTAGCCAGGCATGGCGGGATATGTCTTTAGTCCTAGCAACTCAAGAGGCTGAGGCAGGAGAGTCACTTGAGCCCAGGTGTTGAAGGCTGCAGTAAGCTATGATCACGCCACTGCACTCCAACATGGGTGAGAGTGAGACCCCGTCTCAAAAAAGAAAAAAAGGCAAGGTACAGTGGCTCATGCCTGTAATCCCAGGACTTTGGGAGGCCAAGACAGGTGGATCACTTGAGGTCAGGAGTTTGAGACCAGCCTGGCCAACATGATGGAACCCTGTCTCTACTAAAAACACCAAAAAAAAAAAAAAAAAAAAAGAGTCAAGCATGGTGGCTCAGGCATGGTGGCACATGCCTGTAGTCCCAGCTACTAGGGAGGCTAAGGCACAAGAATGGCTTGTACCTGGGAGGCAGGGGTTGCAGTGAGCCGAGGTTTTGCCACTGCACTCTAGCCTGCGTGACTGAGCAAGACTCTGCCTTAAAAAAAAGACAAAAAAAGACAATACCAACTGCTGGCAAGGTCACGAAGCAACTGCAACTCTCGAACACTACAAATGGGAGTATAAGTTAGTAAAACTGCTCTGGAAAACAGTTTGGTATCTTATCTTCTAATAATGAACATGCAAATCCAAACTAATTCCACTCAAAAATACGAACCCAACATAAATGGGTACACATGTACACTAAAAGATATATACAAGAATGTTCAGAAGTAGTTTTATTTATAATAGCTTAATAAGTGAAAGTCATCTAAATGTCCTTAACAATTAAGCAATTATGATATATTCATATAATGGTATATGAGAACAATGAACAAGAATGAACTGCTACAAGATAGTACCTACTATATTCCATCTATAGGATATTCAGAAACAGGCAAAACTAATATGCAATGTTAGATGTCAGAATACTGGTTACTTTTGGTAGGGTCTGAATGGACATGAAGGGAGGTTTTGAGGGACTTGTAATGTTTTACCTTTTTTTTTTTCTTTTTTCTTTTTTCCTAGTAACTTCTCTGAGCTAAGTAATGTTTTATATCATGATCCAGACAGTAGTTATACAAATGTATTCTTTCTTAAAATTTATCAAATTGCACAAATATATTACAGAAAGTAAGACAGGATCCCTACTTCCATGAAATTTACCTCTTTTTTTTTTGAGATGGAGGATGGAGTGCAGTGGTGATCTTGGCTCATTGCAGCCTCTGCCTTCCAGTCTCAAGTGATTCTCCTGCCTTACCCTTTTAAGTAGGTGTAACTACAGGCTCGCACCATCATGTCCAGCTAATTTTTGTATTTTTAGTAGAGATGGGATTTCACCATGTTGGCCAGACTGGTCTTGAACTCCTAACCTCAGGTAATCCTCCAACCTTGGCCTCCCAAAGTGCTGGGATTACAGGCATAAGCCTGACATTTACATTTTAAAGGGTAGTAACAGAAAAACAAATACCTTGTTTGGTAAATTCTGTACAGAGAATTATAGTAATCTGATTTGACAAGAGATTAACCAGATGACTATTTTAGATTGGGCCATTTAGTTACTTAATGACAATTAACATTTAGTGATACTAAGCTATGAATAACACGACAAAGCCAGCCTTGCAAAGATCAGGTGAAGAGCATTTCAGCCAGAGCTTATACAAAGGCCCTAAAATGGAAATGAGTTAGGTGCGTTCAAACAACAGAAAGAAAGTCAGTTTCCTATAGAGAGCATGAGAGGAGTAAGTTGAAGAAAAGTAAGCAGGGTCCTGATCATATAAACACTTTGTAAATTAGAAAAAGGAGTTAGGATTTTATTCTAAGTATTATGGGAAACAACTGGATGGTTTTGAGGGGAGAGTGATAATACAATATAGATAAAAAAAGAAAAATACTGGCTGCAAATGAAAGTAGCTTGGTGTGGGATGGCAGTAGTGGAGGTAGAAACGGGATTGGGGGTTAATTCTGGATGTGTTTGTAGGTTACCTTGACATAATTAATCTGCTGATACATTAGATGTGGGTAATGAGAGACAGTAATCAAGAGAAATTACCAGAATGTTTTGTTTGAGCAACAGAGTGCTGATGGTATTTACTGAGATGGGGAAAACTACAAAGGAACAGGTTTTTGGGGGAAGAAACCAAGAATTTCTTCCTAAGTTTAAGACACCAATTAGACATCCATGTGAAGCTGTCAAGAAGGCAGTCTGAAATTCCACGTAGTTCTCAGGTCTGAGAACTGGATCTTGAAATCTCTAGATATATCTAATACTTCAGCTATGTGACTGATTGCAATTATGTTTGAGTGTTCTTTTTCTTTCTTTCTTTCTTTTTTTTTTTAATAGAGACAGGGTTTCACTATGTTGGTCAGGCTGCTCTCGAACTCCCGACCTCAGGTGATCCACCTGCCTCAGCCTCCCAAAGTGCTGGGATTACAGGCGTGAGCCACCACGCCCAGCCTTTTTTTTTTTTTTTTTTAAATTTATTTTACTTTAGGTGCATACTATATCTGCCATTTCTCCCCATGTTATCTCTCCCCCTCCTCCCCTCCCGAGCATTTATTTCTTAACTATTCCTTCCTTTCCTGTTCACTCTAAGCAAGTGAGCCAAAATGGGAGCTGTCATGTAACCTTACCTCCTGTTCACAGCAACTGATCTATAAAGACTGATGTCTGTTCCAAGCTGGACCAAGCAACAGTTCTTTCTCACAATTTTCTAAACTAGGCAGTATTTATTTTCCAGAAATACTCTAGCTAGCTCTCTATTGCCTACTCTAAGTATTATTTTAACAGTTGTAATTTATTATTTCCTCTCTAGGATGAAGGTGAGAAGGTGTGAATTAAGGTCTTGCTAGGAGTTATCATTCCAGGTTGGTGGAGAAAAGTTATCTGAGAGACTGAACACGACATGCAGAGAAAAGCAGCCCTGGGATGTAAAAAAATGACAATGTCCTCAGTAGTCCAGTGCCTGCGTCAGTTACTGTCTTCCCACAGTAGCTTGGGTTACATAAATTGTAAAAGTCCTCCCATTTTCCCCCAAACTCACTTTTCTTTTCTTTTTCTTTTTCTTTTTTTTTTTTTTGAGATAGGGTCTGGCTCTGTTGTCCAGGCAGGAGTGTAGCAGCGCCATCTCAGCACACTGCAACCTCTGCCTCCCAGGTTTAAGCCATCTTCCTAGTTCAGTCTCCTGAGTAGCTGGGAATGCAAGCATGCCCCACCATACCCAGCTAATTTTTGTACTTTTTGTAGAGACGAGTTCTTGGTCTTTGCTTAGGATAGTCTCAAACCACTGAGCTCAAGTGATCACCTAGCTGGGCCTCCCAAAGTGCTGGGATTACAGGCCAGGCATGAGCCACTGCACACAACTCCCCAAACCAACTTTTTTTTGCGGGGGACAGAGTTTTGCTCCAATGCCTAGGCTGGAGTGCAATGGCATGATCTTGGCCCATTGCAACCTGTGCCTCCTGAGTTCAAATGATTCTCCTGCCTCAGCCTCCCAAGTAGCTGGGATTACAGGTGCCCACCACCATGCCCAGCTAATTTTTTCTTTTTTTTTTTGTATTTTTAGTAGAGATGGGATTTCGCCATGTTGGCCAGCCTAGTCTTGAACTCCTGACCTCAGGTGATTCGCCTGCCTTGGCCTCCCAAAATGCTGGAATTACAGGCATGAGCCAGCTGGAATTACAGGCATGAGCCACTGCACCAGGCCCCAAACTAATTTGTTAGATTTGTGTCACCTGCAGTGACAGATTTCCTTATACGGATATATCTATCTGTACCTTACAACTGATTTCAGTGACATAGGCCAGGACCAGCACTTTGAGGCCAGGAGCTGGAGACCAGCTTGGCCAATGTGGCGAAACCCCATCTCTACTAAAAATATAAAAATTAGCTGAGTGTGGTGGTACACACCTGTAATCTCAGCTATTCCAGAGGCTGATGCATGAGAATCACTTGAACTCGGTAGGCAGAGACTGCAGTGAGCCAAGGTCACACAACTGCACTTCAGCCTGGGCAACACAGCAAAACTCTGCAGAGAAAAAAAAAAAAAGGCTGGGTGTGGTGGCTCACACCTGTAATCCCAGCATTTTGGGAGGCCAAGGTGGGCAGATCATTTGAGATCATGAGCTCAAGACCAGCCTGGCCAACATGGTGAAACCCCGTCTCTACTAAAAATATAAAAAGAAACTTGGCCAGGTGTGGTGGCACGTGCCTGTAATCCCAACTACTTGGGAGGCTGAGGCAAAAGAATCACTGGAGCCCGGGAGGTGGAGTCTGCAGTAAGCCCAGATCATGCCACTGCACTCCAGCCTGGGTGACAAAGTGAGACTCTATCTCAAAAGATAAATAAATAAAATAAAAAATAATTTCTAAAAATTCATTTTGACGTATGATTTATGAAAAATCCTTATTTTGCATTAAAATTTTAGGTTTACTTATTTCCATTGTTTAAGTAAATAAAACCTAATTTTTTTCAAAACAGTATAGTCTCAATGAATGGTATGGTGGAAAAGAAGGTAAGTTTGGTCTAAAAGTTTCTTTACTAAAGTAAACATCCTTGGTTGATATGCCTCTTCAGGTAAAAATAATAATAACAGAGTAAAATTCTTTCAAATTGTTTCCTAGAATCTAAAAGGAAGTCATGTTTAAATACATTTTTAAACCTTTAATAAAAAAGAGTATTTCCTTTAAACTTTCACTAATTTTTTTTTTTGAGACAGGGTTTTACTCCTGTCACCTGTAATGCAGTGATGCAATTAGAGCTGACTGCAGCCTCAAACTCCTGGGCTTTAGCAACCCTCCTTCCTCAGCCTCCCAAGCAGCTGGGACCACAGGTATGCACACCATGTCCAGCTAACTTTTAAAAATTTTTTGTAGCAACAGGTCTCACTATGTTGCGCAGGCTGGTCTCTAACTCAAGCAATCCTCCCGCCTTGGCCTACCACAGTGCTAGGATTATAGGCATGAGCCACGCCTGGCCTCAGTAATTTTTTAAATTATGGAAATGAATCTCAAATTATTTGTTAATCCATTGCTATCACAAATCCAAAGTTTTAGATAAAAACCCATCTTTATCGGTGCCTAGTATTAAACTACGTCACATTTATTTAACATCTAGAAGATACACTAACATGAAAATCCTTTGTATTTGCTCTAGCTAAAATAAATTCCGAAAATATCAAAGAAATTAATGTGAACCTTTTAAAAATATTTGCTTTTAAAAAACCTAATGTGAACATTTTATTTTAATATGATTAATACTTTAAATATTCATGTTTCTTGGAAGATGTTTTTCTATTTTCTTTTCTTTTTTTTTTTTTTCTGAGACGGAGTTTCGTTGTTACCCAGGCTGGAGTGCAATGGCGCGATCTCGGCTCACCGCAACCTCCGCCTCCTGGGTTCAGGCAATTCTCCTGCCTCAGCCTCCTTAGTAGCTGGGATTACAGGCACACGCCACCATGCCCAGCTAATTTTTTGTATTTTTAGTAGAGACGGGGTTTCACCATGTTGACCTGGATGGTCTCGATCTCTTTACCTCGTGATCCACCCGCCTCAGCCTCCCAAAGTGCTGGGATTACAGGCTTGAGCCACCACGCCCGGCTTCTTTTCTTTTTTTTATTTTTTGAGATGGAGTCTTGCTCTGTCGCCCAGGCTGGAGTGCAGTGCATGATCTCAGCTTACTGCAACCTCCATCTCCTGGGTTCAAGTGATTCTCCTGCCTCAGACTCCCAAGGAGCTGGGATTACAGGTGCACACCACCACACCTGGCTATTTTTTGTATTTTTAATAGAGATGGGGTTTTGCCATGATGAGCAGACTGGTCTCAAACTCCTAACTTCAGGTGATTTGCCTGCCTCGGCCTCCCAAAATGCTGGATTACAGGTGTGAGCCACTGGACCCAGTCTATCTATTTTTACTATCTGACCATCATATCACTAAGTAGGCAGCATTTACTTTCCAAAAAACTCTAGCTAGCTCTTTATTGTCTACTATAAATATTTTAGTAGTCATAAGTTAGCAGAAAATAAAATAATTTGAACTTACCCAAATGAATAGACAGGGCTAGGTTTCCTCATTGTTACCCAGTAACTTATTAAACATGTCATTAAACTAAGTAAAAAGAAAAATAAATTTAGCATTAGAACTAGAAGAGAACATATGAAGAGAAATTAAGTTTTCAGAATTTCTAAGTGGTTGAAAGTTATCCATGACTGAACAGACTAAATTAATATTATTCTAATAATGTATTAAGATAAACAAATAACTAGTAATTTACCATTAATGACAGTGAGCATCTCAACATGTGATATACTTGGAAGATTTTAATATGTGAAGCAACAGAATGAAGTTATAATACTTCATTAAGTCAGTTAAGTAGAACCTAAACTCATACTTCTACTACACAATGTTATCTACCCTAAATGGTTTCTGTAACTGAAAATGCTAAAAAATGACACATGATAAATTTTAACTTTGATATGCTTCATCTTTTTTAAAAGTTAAACTAAATATTAATAATACCTTGACAACCTTCTGCATGAGATAAAATTATGTTCATTTTCCAAGTCTAGTACAGATTCACTCTAAAACAAGTTACTAGAGTATGAAATTAGGTAACAACTACCTGCGTTAGACTCGATTAAATATGTTAGTCACCTGATTAGTGAAATAAATCCTTTTTTTTTTTTTTTTTTTTTTTTTGAGACAAGAGTCTCACTCTGTTGCCCTGGGTGGAGTGCAGTGGTACCATCTCAGCTCACTGCAACCTCTGCCTCCTAGGTTCAAGTGATTCTCCTGCCTCAGCCTCCTGATGGCTGGGATTACAGATGTGTGCCACCGCACCCAGCTAGTTTTTGTATTTTTTTTTAGTAGAGATGGGGTTTTTCCCATGTTGGCCAGGCTGGTCTCAAACTCCCGGCCTCGAGTGATCCACCTGCCTTGGCCACCCAAAGTGCTGGGATTACAGGCGTGAGCCACTGTGCCTGGCCAAAAAGACATCCTTATAATATACTCCTATCTCATGGATCTTGAAGATATCAAAGTATTTTCTAATCCTTAAATGGAAATATGAAAGACTTCAGGAAACAGGGAGTCAAGAGTCTGTCTCCCTAGCTCACAATTCCTCAATTCTCAGTTATTAACTATCCTTCATTTCTTTCTCCATATATACACTTACAGAGGGAACTGGTATGTTCTTAACATGACTGTATGGTGATGTTAAGGGTCCTTGACCACAGCTGACTGATCCACAGATAGGTACCAGAATCTAGGTTGGCTTTGAATGGATGGATAATTTTTGAAATTGCATCAGATAAAGACAGTCAAATGAGTTTCTGCAGTCGGAAATATACAATTAGGCTGGGGGTGGTGGCTCATGCCTGTAATCTTAGCACTTTGGGAGGTCACAGCAGGCAGATCACTTGAGAGTCCAGGAATTCAAGACCAGCCCTCAGCAACATGTCGAGACTCTGTCACCATAAAAATATACAAAAATTAGCCCGGTGAGTGAGTGACTGTAGTCCCTGCTACCCCGTAGGATGAGGTAGGAGGATCACCTGAGCCCAGGAGATTGCAGCTGCAGTGAGCCCTGACTGCGTCACTGTATTCTTAGCCTGGGTAACAGAATGATACCTTGTCTCAAAACAAAACAAAACAAAACAAAACAAAAAACAAAAAAAAAACAAAAAAACTCTGTAACTTTTACTATAGTTCATCACTTTTTTTTTTTTTTTTTTTTTTTTGAGGAGGAGTTTCGCTCTTGTTACCTAGGCTGGAGTGCAATGGCACGATCTCGGCTCACCGCAACCTCCACCTCCTGGGTTCAGGCAATTCTCCTGCCTCAGCCTCCTGAGTAGCTGGGATTACAGGCACACACCACCATGCCCAGCTAATTTTTTGTATTTTTAGTAGAGACGGGGTTTCACTATGTTGACCAGGATGGTCTCGATCTCTTGACCTCGTGATCCACCCGCCTCGGCCTCCCAAAGTGCTGGGATTACAGGCTTCAGCCACCGCGCCTGGCAGTTCATCACTTTTAAGAAGTACATATTTTTGCCGGGTGTGGTGGCTCAAGCCTCTAATCCCAGCACTTTGGGAGGCCGAGGCGGGTGGATCATGAGGTCAAGAGATCGAGACCATCCTGGTCAACATGGTGAAACCCTGTCTCTACAGGCGTGGTGGTGCATGCCTGTAGTCCCAGTTACTCAGGAGACTGAGGCAGGTGAATCACGTGAACCCAGGAGACGGAGGTTGCAGCGGGCTAAGATCACACCACTGCACTCCAGCCTGGCGACAGAGCAAGACTCCGGCTCAAAAAAAAAAAAGTGCCTATTTCCAGCTGGCAAAGGTAGCTCACGCTTGTAATTCCAACACTTTGGGAGGCCAAAGCAGGATCACTTAAGCCTAGAAATTTGAGACCTACCTGGGCAACATAGGAAGAACACATTTTTACGAAATATCAAAAAATTAGGCAGGTGTGGTGGCACATGCCTGTGGTACCACCTACTCAGGAGGCTGAGATGGGAGGATCATTTCAGCTCAGGAGGTAAAGGCTGAGGCTGCAGTGAGCCAGGTCAAGCCACTGCACTCCAGCCTAAAAAAAAATGCCTGTTTAGCCAAAACAATTTCGAAAAAGAACAAAGCTGGAATATTCATACTTTCCAATTTCAAAACTTACTACAGAGCTGCAGTAATCAAGACTGATGGTACTGGCAAAAAGGACAGACATACAGATCAATGGGACAGACCAAGAATAAATGTTCACATTTACAGTTAACTCATTTTTTTTGTTGTTTTGTTTTTTGAGATGGAGTCTTGCTCTGTTGCCCAGGCTGGAGTACAGTAGTGCAATCTCAGCTCACTGCAACTTCTACCTCCTGAGTTCAAGTGATTCTCCTGCCTTAGCCTCCTGGGTAGCTAGGACTATAGGTTATGTCACCATGCCTGGCTAATTTTTGTATTTTAGTAGAGATGGGGTTTCGTCACATTAGTCAGGCTGGTCTCAAAATCTTGACCTCAGGTGATCTGCCAGCCTTGGCCTCCCGAAGTGTGGGATTACAGGTGTGAGCCACCACACTTGGCTTGTGAACTGGTTTTTGACAAAGGTACCAGGACGATTCAATGGGGAAAGTAGTCTTTCAACAAATGATGATGGGACAACTACATGCAAAAGAATGAATCTGAACCCCCAATCTCACACCATATACAAAAATTAACACAAAATGGATCAAAAGGCACAGTGGCTCAAGCCCATAATCCCAGCACTTTGGGCAGCTGAGGCAGGAGAATCGCTTGAACCCAGGAGGCAGAGGCTGCTGTGAGCCAAGATCATGCCAATGCATTCCAGCCTGGGCAACAGAGCAGGACTCCATCTTAAGAAGAAAAAAAAATCAAAGATCTAATTATAAGAGGAAAAACTATAAAACTCTTAGAAGAAAACATACCTATTGGTCAGGCACAGTAGCTCACTCCTGTTATCCCAACACGTTGGGAGGCCAGGTGGACCACTTGAGGTCAGGAGTTTGAGACCAGCCTGGCCAACATGGTGAAACCCTGTCTCTAATAAAAATACAAAAAATTAGCCATGCATGGTGGTGCATGCCTGTAATCTTAGCTATGTGGAAGGCTGAGGCAGGAGAATCACTTGGACCCAAGAGGCAGAGTTTACAGTGAGTTGAGATCATACCATTGCACTCCAGCCTGGGTAACACAGTAAGACTTTGTCTCAAAAAAAAAGAAAGAAAATTTAACCATAAATTTTCATGACCTTAGATTAGATCATGGTTTCCTAGACAAAACACTCAAAGCATAACCATCAAAGAAAAAGAGATAAACTAGACTTCTTCAGAATTAAAAACTTAAAAAAAAAATTGAAAACTTTTGGGCTCAAAGGACTCCATCAAGTGAAAAGGCAACCCACAGAATGTGAGAAAGTTTCTGCAAAGCATGTATCTAATTTGTACAGGTATTGATTGACTTATGACCTATGCAACTTAAGACCACTTGACTTTACGACCATAATTGCTAGCCACGACTGCTCCGCGTCTGGCAGCGCAAATGTTGCCCAGCTGGGCGTACGACAGTGCGGACCAGCTTCCGGCAGCACTACCATCTCCGCGTGCACCATTTCAACTGTTATCCCAGACTCGGTACAGCAATTTGTGTTTTGTGTCTTGGATATTTTTCATCAAACCCCTCCCAAGATGTCTACCATGAGGAAATTGTCTTTGTCTATGCCTCGGCCTGCCAAGAAGGAAAGAAAGGCCATCAATCTCGACATGAAAATGAAGGTAATTAAGCAGTACAAAGGAGGAAAGAAAGTGAATGTGATCGCATAAAATGAACAAAGAAAATTATGATATATAACAATAATGAAAGAAAATTATGATAAAATATAACTTAAAGATTTTTATAACATCATTTCACAGTACTGTACATATAGCCTACTCAACTTATGACCAAATCGTGTTACGACCGGTCTGTCTGAACCAATTGTGGTTGTAAGTTGAGCACTAGCTGTATCTAGAATATAAGAAGCTCAACAATGAAAAGACAACTCAACTAAAAAATGGGCAAATTATATGAACAGGCAAGTCTCCAAAAAAGATATACAAATAATCAAGAAACACATGAAAAGATGTTTAGCATCACTATTCATTAAGGAAATGCAAATGCAAATCAAACACAGGAAACACCACTTCACACCTAGTAGGATGACTATAATAAAAAGATAATAGGGCCGGGCGCAGTGGCTCAAGCCTGTAATCCCAGCACTTTGGGAGGCCGAGGCGGGTGGATCACAAGGTCAAGAGATCGAGACCATCCTGGTCAACATGGTGAAACCCCGTCTCTACTAAAAATACAAAAAAATTAGCTGGGCATGGTGGTGCGTGCCTGTAATCCCAGCTACTCAGGAGGCTGAGGCAGGAGAATTGCCTGAACCTGGGAGGCGGAGGTTGTGGTGAGCCGAGATCGCGCCATTGCACTCCAGCCTGGGTAACAAGAATGAAACTCCGTCTCAAAAAAAAAAAAAAAAAAAAAAAAAAGATAATAATGAGAGTTGGTGAGGATATGGAGAAACTGGAATCCTTATATACTACCAGTAGAAATGAAAAATGCTGCATTCATTTTGGAAAACAGTCTGACAGTTCCCCTCAGAATGTTAAAGAAAGTTATATGATCCTGCAATTCTACTTCCAGGTATTTACTCAAGAGAAATGAAAACCTATGTCTAAACAAAAATATACACAAATGTTCACAGCAGCCTTACTCATAATAGCCAAAAACTAGAAACAATCCTTAATGTCCATCAACTAAAGAACAAATAAAATGTGGTATTGAATAAATAAACAAACAATAAAATGTGGTATGGCCATACAATTCAGCAATAAAAAGAAAGAGCATGAAACGCATCTCTACCAAAAATATATAAAAGGTTAGCCAGGCATGGTGGCATGTATCTGTCAACCCAGCTACTTGGGAGGCTGAGGCATGAGGACTGCTTGAGGCCAGGAGGCAGAGGTTTCAGTGAGCCAAGATTGTACCAGGGCACTCCAGTCTGGGTGACAGAGTAAGATCCCAACTCAAAAAAAAAAAAAAAAAAAAAAAAAGAGTAACTATTGATACATGCTACAACAAAACAGAAAAGCATTATGCTAAGAAGACAGTCGTAAAGGACTGCATATTGTATGATTCCACTTATATGAAATGTCCAGAGCAGGCAAACCTTTCAAGAGAAAAAAGATTAGTAGTTGCCTAGGCTGGAAAAGAGAATGGAATGACTGGGAGAATGGAATGACTGCAGAGTAATAGCTAAGGGGAGTGGTTTCATTTTGAGGTAATGAAAATATTATAGGATGGGCATGGTGGCTCACACCTGTAATCCCAACACTTTGGGAGGCCAAGGTGGGCTGATCACTTGAGGTCAGGAGTTCAAGACCAGCCTGGCCAACATGGTGAAGCCCGATCTCTACTAAAAATACAAAAGTTAGGCCGGGCACGGTGGCTCAAGCCTGTAATCCCAGCACTTTGGGAGGCCGAGGCGAGTGGATCACGAGGTCAAGAGATCGAGACCATCCTGGTCAATATGGTGAAACCCCGTCTCTACTAAAAATACAAAAAAGTAGCTGGGCATGGTGGCACATGCCTGTAATCCGAGCTACTCAGGAGGCTGAGGCAGGAGAATTGCCTGAATCCAGGAGGTGGAGGTTGCGGTGAGCTGAGATCGCACCATTGCACTCCAGCCTGGGTAACAAGAGCGAAACTCCGTCTCAAAAAAAAAAAAAAAAAATACAAAAGTTAGCTGGGTGTGGTGGTGCACATCTGTATTCCCAGCTACTTGAGAGTCTGAAGCAGGAGAATGGCTTGAACATGGAAGGTGGAGGTTGCAGTGAGCCGAGATTGCGCCACTGTACTCCAACCTGGGTGACAGAGTTAGACTCTGTCTCAAACAAAAAAAAAAAAAGGAAAAGAAAATATTATAAAGTTGATTATGATGATGAATACACAACTCTACGTATGAAGATACTAAAAGTTATTTTAAGGCATATGAATTATAATATCTCAATAAATCTACTTTTTTTTTGAGACAGAGTCTTGCTCTGTCGCCCAGGCTGGAGTGCAGTGGTGCAATCTCGGCTCACTGCAACCTCTGACTCCTGGTTTCAAGAAATTCTCCTGCCTCAGCCTCCAAAGTAGGCGAGACTACAGGCACCCACCACCACGCCCAGCTAATTTTTGTATTTTCAGTAGAGATGGGGTTTCACCGTATTGGCCATGCTGGTCTCAAACTTCTGACCTTGTAATCTACCCGCCTCGGCCTCCCGAAGTGCTGGGATTACAGGCATAAGCCACCTCGCCTGGCCCAGTAAAGTCATTTTTTTAAAAAACAAAAGAGCGCATGTTTCCTTAGCACACTCAATGACACAAGCATACTCAAATATTTTAATCTTTCCCAGTGTGATAGGCAAACCAGCATCTCAAAGTAATTTTAATTTGCATTTCTCTGTTAGTGAAAATGAGCAACTTTTCAAATCATTTATATTTCCTTTTCTGTAAACTCTGTATGAATTATAAATTTTTTTCCTCCTCTTTTGTCTTCGTGTTATTAAGTATTAGCAAAATTAGCCCTTTGAGATATCAATTACAAATATCTTCTCAGGTTATTTTCCGTTTACAGTGACATTTGCTATCTAGAGTTTTTAACTTTAATATAATTAAATTTATAAATATTTTGTTTTGTTTTTCAGAAGAAGTTTCGCTCTTGTTGCCCAGGCCGGAGTATGGTGGCACGATCTCAGACCTCAGCTTACTGCAACATCCACCTCCTGGGTCCAAGCGATTCTTGTGCTTTAGCCTCTGAAGTACCTAGGACTACAGGCAAATACCACCACGCCTGGCAAATTTTGTATTTTTAGTAGAGAACAAGTTTTGCCATGTTGGCCAGGCTGGTCTCAAACTCCTGACCTCAAGTGATCTAGCCGCCTTGGCCTCCCAAAGTGCTGGGATTACAGGTATACACCACTGCGCCTGGCCTTGTTTTCTGTTATTTCTTTTTTTTAGAGGCAGGGTCTCACTCTCTTGCCCAGGCTGAAGTGCAGTAGCATGATCATGGCTGCAGCCTAGAACACCAGGGCTCAAGTAATCCTCCCACCTCAACCTCCTGACTCCTGAACAGGCCCACTCCATCACATCTGGCTATTTTTATTTTTTGTAGACATGAGATCTTGCTGTCTTGTCCAGGCTGGTCTTGAACTTCTGGCCTTAAGTGATCGTCCCACATCAGCCTCCCAAATTGCTGGGATTACAGGTATGAGCTGTGGCACTTGGCCCAATACTTTATGTGATCTTCAATTATCCTAAGTAATTTAAGTCTGTTATACAGCCTTCTGTTCATTTTTTTCACATAAATTTTAGAATAAGCCTGTCTAGTTTGATTAACTTCAGAGAGAACTGACTTTTTTTTTTTTTGAGACTGAGTTTCGCTCGTTACCCAGGCTGGAGTGCAATGGCGCGATCTCGGCTCACCGCAACCTCCGCCTCCTGGGTTCAGGCAATTCTCCTGCCTCAGCATCCTGAGTAGCTGGGATTACAGGCACGTGCCACCATGCCCAGCTAATTTTTTGTATTTTTAGTAGAGACGGGGTTTCACCATGTTGACCAGGATGGTCTCGATCTCTTGACCTTGTGATCCACCCGCCTCGGCCTCCCAAAGTGCTGGGATTACAGGCTTGAGCCACCGCGCCCGGTGAGAACTGACTTTTTAAAAAAACGATTTGAAGTGTTCCTCTCTAAGTACATGATTTGCCTCTTTTTTTTTTTAAGGTCTTTTTTTTTTTGTCTTTCAGAATCATTTTAAAGTTATTTTCATGAATATCTTGTTTATATACATCTTGTTAAGTTTATGCCTGGACATTTATCTTTTCTGTTTTTATGTAAATAAAAGGTTTTCTGTCTCTAATTACTGTTTTTTATTGTTGTTTGTTTGTTCTTTGAGACAGAGTCTTGCTCTATCGCCCAGGCTGGAGTGCAGTGGCACGATCTCGGCTCACTACAACTTCTCCCTCCTGGGTTCAAGCGATTCTCCTGCCCCATCCCCCTGAGTAGCTGGGACTATAGGTGCATGCCACTAGGCCTGGTTAATTTTTGTATTTTTAGTAGAGATGAGGTTTCACCATGTTGGCCAGGCTGGTTGTAAACCCCTGACCTCAAGTGATCCACCCACCTCAGCTTCCGAAAGTGCTGAGATTACAAGCATGAGCCACCCCACCCAGCCTCTAATTACTGTTACGTCTCTAATTACTGCTGTTTGTGTGTTCTATATTGATAATTTTACTTATTTAGTATTTTCCTTTAAGCAAAGAAAACTTCTTCATAATCTACTTTTTCTCTCCATGGATATGACTGTTCCGGACATTTCACATAAATGAAATCATACAATATGTGGTCCTTTATGACTGTCTTCATAGTATAAAGTTTTTATTGTTTTCTTGTAAGATATCAGCAGTTGCTCTTTTTGTTGCTGAATTGTATGACTATATCACATTTCAACCAAATTCCTTATTGGCTCCAAAACATTAAGGTTTCCTAAAAACTTACCTAAAAAGATCAAAAATCGTCAGATAAGTATAGGCAGTTAAAGCTGCAAAACAAAACAAAACAACAAAACGATTAAAATAGTATTGAACCCTTTAAAAAATACAGCAAGTCACCAAAATTATTTCTTTTTTTTGAGATGGAGTTTCGCTCTCGTTACCCAGGCTGGAGCGCAATGGCGCAATCTCAGCTCATCGCAACCTCTGCCTCCTGGGTTCAGGCAATTCTCCTGCCTCAGCCTCCTGAGTAGCTGGGACTACAGGCACGTGCCACCATGCCCAGCTAATCTTTCGTTTTTTTTTTTTTTTTTTTTTTTTTTTTTGAGGAGTTTCGCTCTTGCTACCCAGGCTGGAGTGCAATGGCGCGATCTCGGCTAACCGCAACCTCCGCCTCCTGAGTAGCTGGGATTACAGGCACGTGCCACCATGCCCAGCTAATTTTTTTGTATTTTTAGTAGAGACGGGGTTTCCCCATGTTCACCAGGATGGTCTCGATCTCTTGACCTCGTGATCCACCCGCCTCGGCCTCCCAAAGTGCTGGGATTACAGGCTTGAGCCACCGCACCCGGCCTAATTTTTTGTATTTTTAGTAGAGATGGGGTTTCACCATGTTGACCAGGATGGTCTCGATCTCTTGACCTCGTGATCCACCCACCTCGGCCTCCCAAAGTGCTGGGATTACAGGCGTGAGCCACTGCGCCTGGCCACCAAAATTATTTCTACCAGAGTAACCATTACCAAAAGAACTTTTGAGTCACCGGCCAACCTCATATATTGGCAGTTATCTAACACATTTGATAAATATATATAGCCAAAGTTGGTTCGTAGAAAAGCTTACTTTCCAACCTGATTTTTCCATTAGGAAAAGTGAAGCAACGAATGTTCAAAGGCCCTGTCACCATTTTTCTGCCTGCTTCTGTAATCTCAGCACTATTTTAAATGTATTGTTTGAATAACAGAACAAAGAAACAATGCACTAAAAAACATAAGACACAAGAAAAATTACAAAATTCCCTTTTTTTTTTTTTTTTTTGAGATGGAGTTTCGCTCTTGTTACCCAGGCTGGAGTGCAATGGCGCGATCTCGGCTCACCGCAACCTCCGCCTCCTGGGTTCAGGCAATTCTCCTGCCTCAGCCTCCTGAGTAGCTGGGATTACAGGCACAAGCCACCATGCCCAGCTAATTTTTGTATTTTTAGTAGAGACGGGGTTTCACCATGTCGACCAGGATGGTCTCGAACTCTCGACCTCGTGATCCACCCACCTCGGCCTCCCAAAGTGCTGGGATTACAGGTTTGAGCCACTGCGCCTGGCCCAGAATTCCCATTTTAAGGAAAAGCCAACAAACCTCAAAATCTAACTTACAAACTGCATAAAGTTCTAGTCTATTACATTAAAAGCCCTGTCACCATTTTTCTGCCTGCTTCTGTAATCTCGGTACCATTTCAAATGTATTGTTTGAATAACAGAACAAAAGAATGATGCATTAAAAAACATAAGACACAAGAAAAAAATTATAGAATTCTCATTTTAAGGAAAAGCCAACAAACCTCAGAATCTAATTTATAAACTGCATAAAGTTCTAATCTATTACATTAAAAACAAATCTCCAGCCAGGTGTGATGGCTCATGCCTGTAATCCTAGCAGTTTGGGAGGCCGAGGTGGGTAGACCACGAGGAGAGGGGTTAAAGACCAGCCTGGCCAACGTAGTGAAACCCCGTCTCTACTAAAAATACAAAATGAAAAAAATTAGCCGGGCATGGTGGCATGAACCTGTAATCCCAGCTACTTGGGAGGCTGAGGCAGGACAATCACTTGAACCCAGGAGGCAGATGGTGCCGTGAGCCTCACATCACTGCACTCCAGCCTGGGCAACAGAGCAAGACCCTGTCTCAAAAAAAAAAAAAAAAAAAAAAAAACTCCACAAATCTCCAAATAAACAATTTTTTAAAAAATAACAGCTTATTTAAAATGATAATAGCAGGGCATGGTGGCTCATGCCTGTAATCCCAGCATTTTCCGAGGCTGAGGTGGGTGATCACTTGAGCTCAGGAGTTTGAGACCAGCCTGGGCAACATGGCGAGACCCCATTTCTATCTTAAAATATATTTTAAAAAGGAAAAAACAACAACAAAAAAGATACTATCCTACCAAATGAACAAAATCTTATAATTTACAGAGAATTTTTAAATATACTCCCTCATTTAAATCATTTGAGTTATATGCATTTCAGAATAATACATTCTTTGTAAGACAAAGCTTTATTTCCAATGAGAAAAATAAAAGTCAAAATAATAAATCCATAAAAATACAAATGGCGACATACCTATACTATTAGTAGAACTGCACCACATAAGCAGGAAGCCAGTACATACCAAGTTTATTACACCAAAGAGCATTATCTTCCAGGACTGTGAAAATAAAAATCACTCTTATGTGTACAGTAGTGATAAACTTCACAGGGTCTGTTCAAGTTGCTATAATTTATACTCTGATATTCAAAGGAATAAACATAACTTCCTACAAAAAGCCTGTCACACTTTCTGCAACTACCAAAATTATCATCAGCTAAGTTATTATAGTATACAAGAGTAAAAAAATAATTCCAGAAGGAGAGTTGTTCAAGAGAAAATAAATTCTGATACAGAAATTCTCAAAGAGTTGAGAAAAATATACATGCATATGCATATCATTTTGTCTCTATAAATACGTATTATAGAGACTATGATGAAGCAGATGGGGCCAAACGTAAGCAATTGGTAAATCAGAATAAAGGGTATAATGATGTTTCTAAAAGTTACTAATCTTGGCCTGGTGCAATGGCTCACACCTGTAAGCGCAGCACTTTGAAAGGCCGAGGCAGGTAGATCACCTGAGGTCAGGAGTTTGAGACCAGCCTGGTCAACATGGTGAAATCTATCTCTACCAAAACAAAAAATTAACCAGACATGGTGGCAGGTGCCTGTAATCCCAGCTACTCGGGAAGCTGAGGCAGAAGAATCACTTGAACTAGGGAAGCGAAGGTTGCAGTGAGCTGAGATCGTGCCACTGCACTCCAGCCTGGATGACAGAGCAAGACTCCATCTCCAAAAAAAAAAAAAAAAAAATACTGACCTTGGCTGTTCAACATCAATCAAGTAAGGTGAGAAATAAGGACAGATCCTGATTTTGACAACACGAGGTTACCGTTACCTTGTAAAAGCTGTTTATATGAATTAGTGGGGACTAGTGCCAAACCGGTCTGTGTTTAACAGAGATGGGGAGAAAAGAAGGTGAATACAGAGTACTGACGATTCTTTTATGTTTGCTACAAAAGTAAGCAAAATGAAGTAACAAAAATGAAGCAACCCTGAGAGCGGAACTTATAACATGTAATTACGATGCAAGAAAGAGGAGAATGATGCACGAAAAACAGTAATACAAGAAACGGAAGAATTTAGGGACATCATCTTTCAGTAGGCAACAAGTGGAAGGATTGGCCTTATAGAGGAGAACTGAAAGTTTGTCCAGAGAAATAGGAGGGAAGGCAGAGTGGTGGCTGATGTGCTAATGAAAGGATATAGAAGTTTTCTTCTGATTACTTCTTTTCCCTGGGTGAAACAGAAAGCAAGATCATTGAGTTAGGGTGAGGATGAAGAAGGCGTTAGAAGCTTGAGGATAGAAATGAAAGAACATGGTATGAAACAGCCATTAGGAAACTTGAAAATTGAATGAAAGAAGGAAATACAGAATGAAAGAAATACAGGCAGCACTAATGGTTGGTTTGATCATGAATTCAAAGTGAGACCAGTCAGCACGGTTTTGTTTCTCTCAGGTTATATTCAGTTGCTTTCATGCAGGTACAAAGTAGAAAGAAAGTGAACTTAATGAAAGTTAGGAATTTTCCAGGAATTATGACAGAGGGAAGGGGAGCACAAAAGAGTTAAGAGCATATATTTTAAAAAAAAGATACTAGGTGCGAATGGTGGTGGACCCCTGTAATCCCAGCTACTCAAGAGGCTGAGACAGGAGGATCCCTTGAGCCCAGGAGTTCAAGACCAGCCTGGATAATATAGCAAGATTCTATCTAAAAAAAAAAAAAAAAAAAAAAAAAGGAGGGAAATAATGATGAAGCATAGAATCTAAGTTGGATAAGGAAGCAAATGAGGATAAGGGAGAAAAGTAGTAAAAATATGGCAGAGTTTCAATTGAAGTGCTCCCTGATACTGCTTATTATTGTTTCATTGAACCTAGCTTTTACTTAAACGTCATCAAATATTTACTGGGTGCTTATATTATACTTCTATAAAAGGGTGAGCAAAATAGAGATAATCACGTCCCTCAGAGATTTTATAATTTAGACAACAATGAGAAGAGCATGAAACACAATAACTGGAAGGTTTACATTGGTGGTCTAAAAGGATGGCAGTTACATCTTTCTATTTACAGTCTCAAGGCATGATATATTTTTCTTGCCTACATTAAAAATGAGAAAACATGGCTTTAGACTGGATTCATTTAATTTTTTGAAATCTTAATAACAAAAAGCAATCACAAAACCATTTTTATTTAAAACACTTCAGAATTAGAATCAAAACTTTAACAGAAGCTTCCTACCAAAGCAAAACAATTAAACACCAAATGACTGCAATTTTACACTTAAAAAATACTTTTCCAACATAGAAAAATGAAAAGTATGGTGGGATCAAGAGTGATTTCTATTTGCCTTAAAAATTATCTTTCTTTAATGTTATAATGTTGTTTGTGCAATAATTAAAATTGGGATTAAGGAATAACTTACCCTTCGGTCAGCTGCTACAAGTCTAAATTCTCGTAACAACTTGCCAAAAAACGATCTTTGTGGTTTTCGAAAGAGATGAATTGTCCCCTTTCAAACAAACAAACAAACAAACAATATACAAATCACCATTTAAGTATTTAATCGTCTTCAGAGTTCCTATGATATAGTGGTTCCTACAATATGGTATGATATAGTGGTAATAATAACCAATATTTACTAATTACTCAATATTTGCCAAACACCTTTTCTAGACACTTTATGTATATTTAGAGATTTAATATTCACAATAAACCTATGTGGTGGAGACAACTTTTAGTAAGTCATCCAAAGTCACAGAGCTAGTAAATGGCTGAGCAGAAATTCAAACCCAGGCTTTTTAGCTCCAGACCACACTCTATTTTTAAATGGAAAAGGTATTTTGAACTGAAAAAAATATTTTTTGCCAAATGGCTCTACCGGAAATTTCTACTGAAAATCCACCTAATTAAAGCTATATATATGGCTGTGTTGGGGCTCCTGCCTGTAATCACAGCACTTTGGGAGGCCAAGGCAGAGGGATCACTTGAGGCCAAGAGTTCAAGACCAGCCTGGCCAACACGGTAAAACCCCATCTCTATGAAGAATGTAAAAATTATACTCCAGCTCTCTCCTAAAAAAAAAAAAAGAAATTACCTGGGTGTGGGGATGCATGCCTGTAATACTAGTTATTCAGGAGGCTGAGGCAGGCCTCAGAATCTCTTAAGCCTGGAAGGTGGAGGTTGCAGTGAGCCAAGATCACGCCACTGCACTTTAGCCTGGACAACAGAATAAGACTCTGTCTCAAAAAGAAAAAAAAAAAGCTATATATTTGAAAGTTCAGGCAACTATTATAGTAAAACCCCTGAGATTCTCTCTTAGGCATTCAATCAAAGTATCTGACGTCCTGGCTAGTCTCCCTGGCTCCTGCTAATATATAGTTTGGAGATAGTAAAGATAAGGCTCACCAATGAGAGAGGAGACCAAGTGGCAACTAGAGGGGATTTACTAACCATTTTGGGAAACCCAAACTTGGGACACCATATGGGAAAACCTTAGCAGAAAGGAGAGTTCAAACACATATGAGAAATTAACTTACAACAAAGGCAGTATCCAATATCAGTGGGAGAAAATATGAGCTAGTCAATAACTGGCATTTTGATCAAGGTAATGTCGCACCCTTACCATACTCCTTACTCTAATTTATTATTTTAAAAATTGAATTATAGAATACTTGAAGAAAGTATGGCTCTATTATTTTATAACTTGGGAGTTGGAGAAGACTTCCTTAATAGGACATAAAAACCAAGAAGCTCAGCCAGGCACAATGGCTCATACCTGTAATCCCAGCACTTTGGGAGGCTCAGGCGGGTGGATCACGAGGTCAGGAGTTCAAGACTAGCCTAGGCAACATGGCAAAACCCTGTCTCTACTAAAAATACAAATATTAGCCGGGCATGATGGCACACAGCTATAATCTCAGCTACTTGGGAGACTGAGGCAGGAGAATCACTTGAACCCAGGAGGTGGAGTTTGCAGTGAACTGAGATCGCGCGATTGCACTCTAGCCTGGGCAACAAGAGTGAAACTCCGTCTCAGAAAAAACAAAAAACAAAAAACAAAAAAAAACCAAGAAGCTCTTAAAGGAAAAAAAACTGATTAATTTTACTATATAATTTCATGGGCAAATATAATACCCTAAAGTGGGAAAAAAGCTTTAAGAAAGTCAAACTGGCCAGGCGCGGTGGCTCAAGCCTGTAATCTCAGCACTTTGGGAGGCCAAGGTGGGTGGATCACAAGGTCAAGAGATCGAGACCATCCTGGTCAACATGGTGAAACCCCGTCTCTACTAAAAATACAAAAAAAATTAGCTGGGCATGGTGGCACGTGCCTGTAATCCCAGCTACTCAGGAGGCTGAAGCAGGAGAATTGCCTGAACCCGGGAGGCGGAGGTTGCGGTGAGCCGAGATCCCGCCACTGCACTCCAGCCTGGGTAACAAGAGCAAAACTGTGTCTCAAAAAAAAAAAAGAAAGTCAAACTGTGAAAAACATTGTAATTCATTACAGACAATAGGCCAGTTTACTCCATATACAATGACATTATATAAATTATTTTTAGAAAGATAAATAACTCAGTTTTAAAAGTTATACATTTATAAAGCTGGCCGAATCAATACCTGCTCATTATTCACATTTGCTTTTGTGACTTTGTATTGTTAATGTGAAATCATGATTTCTATTGACATTTTAAAAATAAAAATGGTATGCCTCTCCCTATACACAGTCACATCTATCTCTTGAACTTCAGGTCCAGCTGCTTTGGAGGAGGACAGTCTGATTTTAAATACAGGCTATACAGCAGTCAGGATAGTTACTCTACTGCAGCCCCATCCTGCAGCGAAGGAGTGAATATCCTGTTTGCCATATAGCCTGTATTTAAAATCAGACTGTCCCAAATTTGGTGAAAACCATTCTAGTCATTTTCCTATGATGTAGTATACATAATGAGGCAGAAACTTCTGTCTATGAAGAAGGCCAAAAAGGGTATTTTAAGTGTGTGATATAATGAATCGAATTCGTGATATTTACTGGTAAGAATGGGAATAGGCCAGGTGGGGTGGCTCATGCCTGTAATCCCAGCACTTTGGAAGGCAGAGGCGGGTGGACCACGAGGTCAAGAGATCAAGACCATCCTGGCCAACATGGTGAAACCTCATCTCTACTAAAAATACAAAAGTTAGCCAGGTGTGGTGGCACGCACCTGTGATCTCAGCTACTTGGGAGGCTGAGGCGAAGAATCACTTGAACCCAGGAGGCAGAGGTTGCAGTGAGCCAAAACTGCACCACTGCACTCCAGCCTGCAACAGAGCAAGACTCTGTCTCATTAAAAAAAAAAAAAAAAAAAAAAAAAAAAGCCGGGCGTGGTGGCTCAAGCCTGTAATCCCAGCACTTTGGGAGGCCGAGGCGGGTGGATCACGAGGTCGAGAGATCGAGACCAACCTGGTCAACATGGTGAAACCCCGTCTCTACTAAAAATACAAAAAATTAGCTGGGCATGGTGGTGCGTGCCTATAATCCCAGCTACTCAGGAGGCTGAGGCAGGAGAATTGCCTGAACCCAGGAGGCAGAGGTTGCGGTGAGCCGAGATCGCGCCATTGCACTCCAGCCTGGGTAACAAGAGCGAAACTCCGTCTCAAAAAAAAAAAGGGAATAATGCCAAAAGACCTGTGATTACTAATTGTTTCAGTTATCATTCAAAAATACTTAGCCTTTCATATGCTGAAAATTTGGCATGGCCCTATTAATTTTTCTGGCATAGGTTTCTAAAAGCAAAACTCTAAGGTTCTTTCTTTTTTTTTTTTTTTTTGAGATGGAGTTTCGCTCTTGTTACCCAGGCTGGAGTGCAATGGCGCGATCTCGGCTCACCGCAACCTCTGTCTCCTGGGTTCAGGCAATTCTCCTGCCTCAGCCTCCTGAGTAGCTGGGATTACAGGCACGTGCCACCATGCCCAGCTAATTTTTCTGGTATTTTTAGTAGAGACAGGGTTTCACCATGTTGACCAGGATGGTCTCGATCTCTTGACCTCGTGATCCACACGCCTCGGCCTCCCAAAGTGCTGGGATTACAGGCTTGAGCCACCGTACCCGGCCTATAGTTTCTTTTAAAGAGAATTTTTTGTCATTCCAAAGGAAAGTAACTGTCATTCCGGGGGGTGGGGGGAATTCTTCACAATTTTCAATGGCCCATACCCAGTAATTTGACTGCTAAGTGCCACATACTTAAATTTTCGGATTTTAATTTTAACCAAATACTTTCCTAGATGGTAAAAGCCACAATTGCTATACCAACCTTATTACATTTCTAACTCACTAAAATTGGTCAATTTGACTCAAACACTGAAGCCCCAGAAAGCAGTAGAACTGAGGTATTAACAATTATAAATGTAAAAAACTTTCAGATCCAATGCAAGCATGGTTTTCCTATATAGTCAGCATCTAGAGAGTATTTAAGTGGTTGTAAGATAGAGATAACTCATTTCTTCAAAGCTTACACATATTAATTGCATTAGGCTGAGACTCAGGAAAAGCAGGAAAAAAGGTCAAGCACTAGATAATTGGCATAAAAAAACAACAGCAGAGCCGGGCTCGGTGGCTCAAGCCTGTAATCCCAGCACTTTGGGAGGCCGAGGCGGGTGGATCACGAGGTCGAGAGATCGAGACCATCCTGGTCAACATAGTGAAACCCCGTCTCTACTAAAAATACAAAAAATTAGCTGGGCATGGTGGCGCGTGCCTGTAATCCCAGCTACTCAGGAGGCTGAGGCAGGAGAATTGCCTGAACCCAGGAGGCGTAGGTTGCGGTGAGCCAAGATCGCGCCATTGCACTCCAGCCTGGTAACGAGTGAAACTCTGTCTCAAAAAAAAAAAAAAAAAAAAAAAAACAACAGCAGAGTGTTAATTGTTGATGCCAGGCGACAGGTACAAGGGGGCTCATATTATGGTCTCTCTACTTCTGTGTATGTATGAACATTTTCATAATAGAGAGGTAATAAGATGACAAGGTAAAAAATATTTTAAAAAGTAAAAATAAAGCACCAGAAAAATGTTACAATTTTATATTCAAATAAAGACCAGTATGTATATACAACCCTATGGCTCTACTAAGCTAATCCAGTTAAAAAAATAATATGTGCTATTTCCACTTTAGATGTTAATAAATGTTAATGTTAATAAATTTTTTTCTTGGTTGGCTACGGTGGCTCATGCCTGTAATCCCACCACTTTGGGAGGCTGAGGCAGGAGGATCACTTGAGCTCAGGAGTACAAGATCAGCCTAGGCAATATACTGAGACTCTGTCTCTACAAAAAATTGAAAAGAAAAAAATTAGCCAGGCATGGTGGTTCACACCATGTAGTAGTAGTCCCAGCTACTCAGGATGTCAAGGTGGGAGGATTTTGCATGAGCCCAGGAAGTCAAAGCTGTAGTGAACCAGGACCACACCACTTTACTCCAGGCTAGGTGACACTGTGAGACCCTATCTCAAAATAAAGAAATAAATATATACGTCCATATGTATAAATATTATACATGTATATATGTTCTTTTCTTAAAGAATTACATGTGGCCGGGCGCGGTGGCTCAAGCCTGTAATCCCAGCACTTTGTGAGGTTGAGGCGGGTGGATCACGAGGTCAAGAGATCGAGACCATCCCGGTCAACATGGTGAAACCCCGTCTCTACTAAAAATACAAAAAATTAGCTGGGCATGATGGCACGTGCCTGTAATCCCAGCTACTTAGGAGGCTGAGGCAGGAGAATTGCCTGAACCCAGGAGGCGGAGGTTGCGGTGAGCCGAGATCACGCCATTGCATTCCAGCCTGGGTAACAAGAGCGAAACTCCGTCTCAAAAAAAAAAAAAAAAAAAAAGAATTACATGTGAGATATTTTGGACCCAAAGATTAAAAAAAATTCTAATTAATACTGTTATTTTTGGACATCTTCTGCTTAACTTCAGCCGACTTTGAGTTTCAGGTTAAGAGAATCAACAAGGTTTCTAAGGGGCAGAAGGTCATTTCTGACACCATCTTTATACTGAAAACAAAACAAAAATCCTAATGTTTGTATCACTCTTCCCAAAATTATATTGGCCCTCCACTGCTATCAAAATAAACTCCAAATTTTACAATCTGAATTTCCAGGTTTACAACTTAGCCTGTTTCTTTCCAGTGTTATCTCTTACTCCAGACAGAAACCCTCAACTCCAGTCTTAATCTCTTACTGTAGATAGAAACCTTCAACTTCAGTCAAACTGGCCTACTCTTGCCTCATCATCATACCACTTTTGAGTGAAATGGCCAGATCTGTCTAACCCAAGCTCTTATTCATATAGCAACAAACAAGTATTAGATTAAGAGTAGGGCACAAAGTGCTCAGTTTCATGTTTCACTTTTTACATGAAGTCTTCTTAGATCATTCCAAATATAGTGTTTGTTATGTGACTTATTTTGCATTAACCAAAGTATAGCCTTCACCTTGTTATCTTGCTTTGTAATTTCTTAGTAACTTCACTAATGATAAGGGCTATTTTTCTTTATATTTTCTAAGAAAGCACTGTTTTCACATAACATGTTCTTACTTTTTTCTCAATATCCCTTAAAATAAACCTTAAATATTGTTTCCCTGCATGACTAATACTAATGTTTCAAGCATAAAGACGTAGTGCCGTAGGTTTTCAGTGTTTTATAAAACAGATGTTTATTGAAAACTTCCTCTGGGCCAGGCACTGTACAAGGCTCTAGGAATACCAGAGTGAAACATACAGGTCCTGCTCTCAATGAGCTTACAGTCTACAAAGTGAGAAAGACAAATAAATACACAATTTTTAACATAGTCTGTAAGGATTACAGATGTTACTGGTAAAAAGCACAAGAGATCCAAGTTTAACTGTATTAAATTAGGGCTGTGAGTTAATGAAGGTGTATAATCTGAAAGACCTCTGAATTTTAATAACCTCTTATCCCTTTACCCTCAAATCTCTTCAAATCATCAGTATTACAGGCAAATTAAGTTGCCTTTATATGTATTCACTTCGTGCAGCTTTATGTAACAAAACTGGTGTATGCATGTAAAAGCTCAAGGTACCAGCAAAGCATAAAGGAGAAGCAACTAACAGGATACTGGAACATAGAGGAAAGGCTCATGAAAAACGATGAAGGATATATAAAGGTTATACTGATAAGGACAGACAGAAGAGGACAGAAAAATTCAGGCAGATGAAAGGGCATATGCAAATTAGGTACAGAAGTCAATTCATACAGCATGATTTGCAATTTGTTCACGGTGGCTGAAATATGGATATTGTATACATGTATGCATTAAAAAAAAAAAAAAAATTCTGGGTGCGGTGGCTCACGCCTGTAATCCCAGCACTATGGGAGGCCGAGGCGGGTGGATCACGAGGTCAAGAGATTGAGACCATCCTGGCCAACATGGAGAAACTCCACCTCTACTAAAAACAAAAAATTAGCACATGCCTGTAATCCCAGCTAGTAGGGAGGCTATGGCAGGAGAATTGCCTGAACTCAGGAGGTGGAGGGTGCAGTGAGCCAAGATCGCACCATTGCACTCCAGCCTGGGCAAAAAGAGTGAAACTCCGTTTCAAAAAAAAAAAAAAAAAAAAGAGAAAAAGGAAGCTGTAAAGGTAAGAAGTTTGATAATGGATGCGTTGATGGCTTTGTATACCATGCTAAACAGGACTTCATCTTGAGTGCTACAGAACAACAAAAAGAACATTTGAGCAAGGGAGTGATGTGGTCAAATTTTAGAAATATAACTCTGAGTACATGCTACACAATGACTGTTATTTATTTATTTATTTATTTTGAGATGGAGTCTTGCCCTTTTGCCCAGGCTGGAGTGCAATCTAACGATCTTGGCTCACTGCAACCTCCGCCTCCTGGGTTCAAGCAATTCTCTGGACTCAGTCTCCCAAGTAGCTGGGATTACAGGCGCCCGCCACCGTGCCCAGCTAATTTTTTGTATCTTTAGTAGACACGGGGTTTCACCATGTTGGCCAGGCTGGTCTCGAAATCCTGACCTCGTGATCCGCCCGCCTCGGCCTCCCAAAGTGCTGGGATTACAGGCGTGAGGCACCGCACCCGGCCAATGATGAAAGTTTTGAAGAGTGTAACTGACGGCTGCTTGATCATTAGCCAAAAAAGGGTACTTTTACCCATTTTCTGTGTGCAAAAGGACTACAGGAAATTTACAAAATATAAAGTGTGTGAGTAAGACATTTTCCCGACCATATCCACTTAAGTAAAGAACTTAGCACAGTGACAAAAGCTTAGGCACAGAAATGTGGTCTCTTTATCATACATACGTTACCAATAAGTACTCCAGGAATTTTTCTAATAAATCCATTTTCAAAAGGTACACCCCACTTTGACACTAGAAATCCCAACCAACTGCTTATTGCTAAAGTTTAGAGCTATATATTTGAGCTCTAAAGGTAAAGAATGACTAATTATAACAAATTTGAGAGAAAACACCATATCCCAACAACCAAACGTCTTATTGGGTCTTCCTCTAGTTTCTACAAACGCAGAAATAAAGCAGCAATAAGATGTTCTATCAACATCTTAACTTTCTGTAGATCAACACCTTGACTTTCTGTAGTTACTGCGCTGATCAAAGGTGATGCCGTAATCACGCTACTTAATATTTAGTAAAGCTAAGCTGCAGAGTGAGGCGTCTGCCTTAAAACCCTATTACTAACCTACTTTTTCTTCCGCCGGCGTTATCGCCACTGCTCTAAGAATCACTATTACAGTTGTTGCTGCGGACTTGTTTTCAGATTTTTTGTTGGTGGTCTAGTTGCTGACGCTGGCAAAAACTTTTATTACATTAAAGGAATCTCGGCAGAAAGAAGTCAGAAACTCGCCAGGAGCTGAAAGCTCGGCCTGCAGCGGGGCGGGGATCCTGAGCACCCACGGAACAAGGTGAGGGGCCGAGGGGGACCGGAACTCTGAGGGGAACATTTTGGGAGACAGACGCTCCTGTCAAGGGACCCGACTCCAACTCCAATGACCCCCTCCTCTGGGTAGTTGAGGGATTTCAAGGCCACTTCGGGAACAGATAAGATAAGCCGAATCAACAACAGCCGAAACCGTCCCCCCGTACCAGCCAACTCACCATGATAAGGAGCTGCACAGCTCCCGCCGGAAGTCGTTCTAGGGGCTCGTGTTTTCCCAGGACGGAAGGGGTGGGGCACCAGAGGCCGATTGGCTGTAAAGAAGGCGTGAAAGGAAGTGCGTGCCGTGGCCTCCGGGTCCTGCCCCCTTCCCGGCTGCCCCTGCACTCCTTGGCGGTGGGCGGCTAGAGTGGCTCCTTCCGAGCCCTCTGAGGGATTGGTCGGGAGCGTTGGGGCGAAGGGCAAGGCAAGGAGCAATGAGGAGTTTATCCTTATGTTAGAAAAGTTTCGTTGAGTACTGAGACGCTTTTACATTGTTGTATGATTTAGGCTTAAGAAAACAGTATTCCAGTTTTACAAGTGAGGAAGGAAGAAGATAAGAAATTTGCCTCGGCTGGGCGCGGTGGCTCACTCCTGTAATCCCAGTACTTTCGGTGGCAAGGCAGGCGGATCACTGGAGATCAGGAATTCGAGACCAGCCTGGCCAACATGGCGAAACCGCGGCTCTACTAAAAATACAAAAATTAGCGGGGCGTGGTGGCGCGTCTCTGTAATCCCAGCTACTTGGGAGGCTTGAGGCAGGAGGGTCGCTTTAACCCGGGAGGCGGAGGTTGCAGTGAGCCGAGATCGCGCCACGGCACTCCAGCCTGGGCGACAGAGCGAGACTCCGTCTCAAAAAAAAAGAAACTTGACTTGATTCATACATCTAGTTTGCTGTAGTAGCAGAATTTGAACTCGGGCTAATGGTCTACTTATTAAAATACTATTTGAATTCTCTAAAATTAATACTATTACGGAAGTAATGTTAATTAGAAAACTTGGAAAATAAATATTAAATTCATTCGCTAAAGATTGAATCTGTAGCATGTGTGTTTGTCATGTGTTTTTGGCCTTGTGGAAATTATATTCTGGTAAGAAGAGACAGAAGTAGGGATAATTTTTTTTTTTTTTAAGACAGTTTCACCATGTTGGTCAGGCTGGTCTTGAACTCCCGACCTCAGGTGATCCGCCCGCCTTGACCTCCAAAGTGCTTGGATTACAGGCGTGAGCCACCATGCCCAGCCCAGATAATGAAATTATTAAAGATGTTTCATATACTGCTTATAAACATAGCCTCAGGGTAATTTTACGCAATTTTAAAAAGCTTTTTAAAAAGCGTGTATCGAACAAAATTTTAACTACAATTTTTTTTTTTTTTCTTTTAAAGCAGAGTCTCGCTGTGTCGTCAGGCACCAGGCTGGAGTGCAGTGGCGCGATCTCGGCTCACTGCAACCTCCACCTCCCGCGTTCAAGCAATTTTGCCTCAGCCTCCCGAGTAGCTGGGACTACAGGGCCCCTGCCACCACACCCGGCTAATTTTTGTATTTTTTAGTAGAGACAGGGTTTCACCATGTTGGCCAGGATGGTCTCGATTTCTTGATCTCGTGATCCGCCCGCCTCCGCCTCCCAAGGTGTTGGGATTACAGGTGTGAGCCACCGTGCCTGGTGAACTACAACTTTTCACGTGTGATCAGGTGTGGAATTTTCCACTGTGGCATCATGTTAATGATCAAAAAGTTTTGATTTTTGGAGGGTTTTAATTTCAGATGGTTGGATTAGGGATGCTAAACATGTAATGCAGTACAGAACAATTGGGTGGGTGTGGTGCTCACACCTGTAATCCTGGCACTTTGGTAGGTCAAGGGGGAAAATCCCTTGAGGTCAGGAGTTGGAGATCACCCTGGGCAATATAGGAAGATCCCGTCTCTACAAAAATAATCTAAAAAGAAACAGCAACTGGGTGGCCAATTTAGGATGGTGGTCAGAGAAAACTTCTCTAAGGAGATGACATTTAATATCTGAATGACAAGTCTTTTTGTGAAGATTTTTCCAGGCAGAATGAACAGCTAGTGTAAATACTGTAAGTCAAATTGAACAGGGTATTTTAAGATCTTAAAGAAAGCAGTAAGTCTGGAGTTTTGTGCTTGAGAGGAAGAAATGAAGAGATCTAAGTGCTAGACAGGCCAGGTCAAGCAAGCAGGAATTTCTAAATTAGTGGTAAAGTGCTTTTTTTCTTTTTCTTTTTTTTTCCTCTCTAAGTGAGAAAAGAAGTCAGAGAATGGCTTTAACAAGGAATGATTTTTACACTTTAAAAAAGATTACTGTGGACTGAGCATGGTGACTCATGCCCAGTCTTTGAAAAGATTAACTAAATCCAAAGCAAGCTAAAGGAAGAAAATCATAATTGGAGAGGAAAGAAAGAGAAAATCAACAGTATCCCAAGTTGGTTCTTTGAAAAGATTAACAAAATTGACAAAACTTTAGCTAGACTCACCAAGAAAAAGAGAAGACAAAATTACTAAAAGCAGGAAAAATAGAGAGAAATTACTACTGATCTTTCGGAAATAAGGATTATAAGGGAATACTATAAACAATTGTATGCCAATAAATTAGATAATGAGATGAAATGGACAAATTTTTTTTTTTTTTTTTTTTTTTTTTTTTTTGAGATTGTGCTTCCCTCTGTCACCCAAGCTGGAGTGCAGTGGCACAATCTTGGCTTACTGCTACCTCTGCCTCCTGTGTTCAAGCGATTAAATCTCCTGCCTCAGCCTCCTGAGTAGCTGAGACTACAGGCGCCTGCCACCACACACAGCTAATTTTTTATTTTTAGTAGAGCCAGGGTTTTACCATGTTGGCCAAGCTGGTCTCGAACTCCTGACCTCAGGTGATCTACCCGCCTTGGCCTCCAAAATGCTGGAATTATAGGTGAGCTACCGCACCAGGCCTGGAGAGTTACCTTTGAACCACATAAATATCACATTTCTTATTATGCTTGTAATTTGTTTATGTATATATTCATATATTTACATGAACTCATGGTTTATTTTGTCTGATGGGTTATATATAATTACTACAATTATTTATTTTGATACTCACATTTGTCCAGTGGGAACCCTTTTAATCTGTGTGTCATTTCAATGATTCATCCTCATCATTCTTTCGGCACTTTCTTCTTTTCTGGCACAAGATTTTCCAAGCTCATGTATTTTATCTGCCCCAGCCCTGAATTTAGCCATTTTATCAAGGATCCTTGGTTCCTTTATTTATTTTTATTTTCCCCATTTTTAAAGGCACTTGGAACTCTAGATGACAAGTTGGTTCCTTTAGTTGATGTTATGGACTGAATGCTCATGTCTCTCAAATTCATATGTTGAAGCTTTCACCAGCAATGTGATGGTGTTTGGTAATTCGGCCTTTGGGAAATACTTAAGGTTAGATGAGATAATGAGGATGGTACCTTCATGATGGGATTAGTGACTTATGACAGGGGACACCAGAGAGCTTGTGCTCTCTGCCGTATGAGGACATGGTAAGAAGGTGGCCATCTGAAAGCCAGGAAGAAAGCTCTCACCAGAAACCCAATTGGCTGGTATTTTAATCTTGGACTTCCAAGCTTCTAAAACTGTGAGGATAAATTTCTGTTGTTTAAGCTGCCCAGTCTATGGTATTTTGTAAAGCAGCCCAAGCAGACTAAGACAGTGAACTATTTGGAATGCAAGATATGGATACTATATGTGCTCATTACTACTGATAGTAATAACTCCTCCAAGGCCACCTTGGTGGACAGACTAGGGAATGTATGTATTTGGACACATATACACATGTATATATTTATATGTTTATGTCTATATTTATTATTTATTTAGAGACAGGATCTTGCTCTGTCACCTGGGTTGGATGCAGTGGCATGATCTCGGCTCACTGCAACCTCTGCCTCCCAGGTTCAACTGATTCTCATACCTCAGCCTCCCAAGTAGGTGGGACTACAGGTGTGCACCACCACACTTGGCTAATTTTTGTATATTTAGTAGAGATGGGGTTTTGCAATGTTGGCTAGGCTGGTCTCAAACTCCTGACCTCAAGCAACCTGCCTGCCTCAGCCTCCCAAAGTGTTGGGATTACAGGCGTGAGCCACTTCACCCAGCCGATATTTCATCTATTTTTATAGATTTTAAACCATGAATTCACACTTAAACACAATTCAAGCTGAACTCCAGGTTTCATTCTAGTTTCCCCTTCTTCTTTTTCTTTCTTCCTTTCCTTTCCTTCTTTCTTTCTTTCTTTTTTTTTTTTTTTTTTTTTTTTTTGAGGTGGAGTTTTGCTCTTGTTACCCAGGCTGGAGTGCAATGGCACGATCTCGGCTCATCGCAACCTCCGCCTCCTGGGTTCAGGCGATTCTCCTGCCTCAGCCTCCTGAGTAGCTGGGATTACAGGCACGAGCCACCATGCCCAGCTAATTTTTTGTATTTTTAGTAGAGACGGGGTTTCACCATGTTGACCAGGATGGTCTCGATCTCTTGACCTCGTGATCCACCCACCTTGGCCTCCCAAAGTGCTGGGATTACAGGCTTGAGCCACCACGCCCGGCTTTTTTTTTTTTTTTTTTTTTTTTTTTTTTTTTTTTTTTTTTGAGGTAGAGTCTTGCTCTGTCGCCTAGGCTGGAGTGCAGTAGTACAATCTAGGCTCATTGCAACCTCCACCTCCCAGGTTCAAGCAATTCCCCTGCCTCAGCCTCCTGATTAGCTGGGACTACAGGCGCATGCCACCACGCCCAGCTAATTTTTTGTATTTCAGTAGAGATGGGGTTTCACCATGTTGGCCAGGATGGTCTTGATCTCCTGACCTCATGATCACCCACCTCGGCCTCCTTAAGTGCTGGGATTACAGGCATGAGCCAACGAGCCTGGCCACCACCCCTTTCTATAATTACCTTCTCTGATGGTGAGAAACCTGGCTTCCACTATGGTTACTATGTTCACTTTATTCAATCAAGTCTTTGGTATGCAACCAATCTGCCATCTCTGCTGACACCCTTACCCCATACAGACACTCCTCTCTGTGCTTGAGCTTATTCCTTATTCCAAGTTGCCCCTATCCACCATGTAAATAGCTGCCTCACTCTGTCCCTGATACCTCATACCTACCTGTCCATCATTGTAGACACTGTCTTCACCCTATCAGGTCTCTGACACCCAAATTTGGGCTTCCATAGGTCCCCCTCT